GGGGAACGGGACGACCGCGTTAAGTGCCGTGATAAAGTTCGGTGAACCCTTTTTTTTTGGACGTGAACATTTGTGGCGATCTAAGAGAACCGACGTCGAAAGCATCTTGGTGTCATACATACCACATAGAACCCAACAACGACGAAATATCCCAAAATCAGGGATCAGAACGAGCCATCTATCTACCTTTCTGCGCATAAGTAACCTCTTCCTGTCTGTCACTGTCATCATGTGGTAAGTAAACTCCCGCCTGCCGGGCATGCCATGACCTGACACCTCGGCATGCCTTCTATGTTCCCCTTCTTTGCTCGTGTAGAATCACTTCCACGAACCACCTGCTAACTAGATCCTCTCCCATCCAGTAAACACGTTCTCAACGCTCAAGTCTCCATCCGGTCACCATGCTGTACGTAACCTCAGTCTCAAATAAACGAACCACCACGATTCCCTGTCACCATCATACAACAACATGGAACGTCGCAGCCATACATACATACATGACCTAACACTACACCCACCTCCTACGCAGGCCGCAAATGGTTCGACTGCCCCGAATGCCACGCCGAGTCCGAGTCGCACCCCCTTAAGAAGACACTTGAGATGACGTTCGCCTGCAAAAAGTGCAAAAAGTGTTTCCGCAAGGATGCGACCGAGTTCGAGGATTCCGACGAATACTGCCCGCACTGCGACAACCACTACATCATCGAGGCCGTGACGCCCAAGGCTGCTCTCAGGGTTGAGGGCGAGGATGCGAGAATGGATGCGCGCATGCTGAAGGACGAAAGAGTCAAGCAAACGAAGAAGACCATGAACCAGATCTCGATATTTGACCCGGATGTGGATGCTGATAAGCTTGGTTGAGTGGTTGGGCTGTTGGAGTTGGAGTTGAAGTTGGAGTTGGAGTACGGGATTACAACGCAGCGAGGAAGGGAAAAAGAGATACCATTTAGAGAAGCATATAATCAAAATGGGTGGCTTATTGTCACTCACATCATATTGCACATCACACCATCGTTCCGTCCGTTCAGGACCTTGCTTGGTCGTCATTCGTGGTATTACTTCTGTACCTCAAGGCGTCTTCTATGTTTTTGAAACGTGGTACGCAGTAGTAGCAGCAGCATCACGGCATCTCTGCTACATCATGCCATACCCATCTCCGCCGCCACAGACACCTTTACTCATTCGGCTTGCTCTCGCCCACCCCCCCTTTAGTGGTCACCTGGCTCATCCTGGCTCCTGGTCAGTATGGCAGCAGTGCCCGTACCAGGAGTCCGGCCCTTCTTCTTCTTGTCCGCCTCCTCCTGCTTCTCCTGCTCAATGTTCTTGACGTAGTTCTCGATATCCTCGACAGGGAGCATCTCGAGCTCCTTGCCGGGAGCCATGATGGCAATCTCAATGTTCTTGGCGCCCGTCTGCACAACTTCGAGTAGGGACTTGATGGTCAGGCGGATCGTAGCCTCCCGGTCCATGTCGTCCTTGTAGTTGCGCTCGAGGAATTCGCGAACCGTCTTGCTTGACCGGCCGATGGCGTTGGCTTTCCTGCGGGGGTGTTAGCTCCATCCATGCTCAGGACTGTCTGTGTGGTGCTAGGTTTGTGTGGACTGACCATGCAGAGTAAATGCCCGAGGGCTCGGTCTGGTAGAGCCTGGGAACATCGCTGCCGTTGTCGAAGCCGACGATCAAGGTGCTAATACCAAAAGGACGAACACCACCACTCTGTGTATACCGCTGCTGCACGCCGGCAACATACTTTGTGATGTACTCAATCGTGACGGGGTCCTCAAGGTTGAGACGGTGCGACTGGGCTTCTAGGCGAGCCTTGTCCACCAAAATTCTGGCATCGGCGTTCAGACCGGCAAAGGCGAGGCAAACGTGCTTGTCGACCAGGCCAATCTTGGAGGGGGTGATTCTTGTGTCTTGGAGCTTCATGGCCGACCTCTTTTCGCAACCAAGGACGACGACATCCTTGCCCTTTACGCCCACCGCGCAGGTACCTATGTGTATCTCCGCGTTAGATACCTGTAGGACCTCCAACCGAGCTGGGACAGTGTCGGGTCTAGGCGACAGCGCATACCTCTCTTGACAGCTTCACCGGCATACTCGACTTGGAAAACGTGTCCATCGGGACTATTCGAATGTTAGTTGGTGGGGTTCTCGGGGTTCGCATCGCATAACGTCGATATCGAGGTGTGACGGACCTGAAGACTGGATGAGGTTATGGGTTAGCGGGGCCATGATCGCGGCTGGGGCAGAGACATGGATGGACATGGGAATGTGGACGAGGTGATGATGTACCTGAAAGAGCTCTGTCGTATCCGGACGCCATGGTTTACTGCTGGGTATCAATCGTGGTGTTGTTGGGTTGGTGAATCGGAGCTGATGCGCCGGGGAGATTAGGTAGATAACGGGACTGGTCGCAAGTATGGCAAGGAAAACAAAGTCGTGTTGTTGGTTGGCAAGTGGATGGACTGAAGTTGGGGTTCGGGATGGAGGCTGCGAAGCTGTGACGACTGACGACTTGAACGACACTCACTCACCAGAACGGGAGCTTCCACCTCTCAGCGTCAATGTCCCCTCAAACAGGCCCAAGCTCAGGGCAGGTAGGTACAACAGCGGGATATGCCCCTGTAGCACTTTGGCAGGCAGGCAGGCGGGCAGGCAGGCAGGCAACGACGCGCTGCTGTGAAAGGCCAGACCCTGTACCTGTCTTCTCTTGGCTTAGGTATCTACCTCTAGTGTAGAGGTATGAAAACAACAGCTTGACACATGCCAGTAAGTAGAGCACTAACAGGATTCCGTCGTGTCAGCGCCTCTCATTGTTAGTTCATTATCAGTTGAAAGACTTTTTGACTCAGTCTGCTTCAAGCGTAGTCAGTTAACCCTGGTAAAAGTCATTGATACCACAGCCAACCCTGGTGTTCCAGAAAGTCTACACTGGAGTTCCAAAGGACGGGAGAAGGAAGCAATTGGTGAACACAGCGATATCGGGAACAAGGACGACCAGGTTCTCAAAATACCTGTAAGAAAGTTTCCGTTTTCTTTTTTTTCCTGTTCTCTCTTTGCAACTCCAGAGACTAGTCCATCATCACCAACATGGCCTGCCGACATCGGTCCTCGACGACAACCCTCGCCAGACTGGCCAAGCCAGCAAGACTCACTCCCAGACTGAGCACTCAGCCCCAGCTTCAGTCCCAGGTTGCGTCGGCGGTCCGGTGCTTCAGCAGCTCTCGTCCCCACCAGCTCAAGGAGACGAGATGCCAGCAGGGCAAGTTCACCAGCGAGACCTACCCTGAACTCAAGAGGGATCCTCGCTATGGTCAGGTCACCAAGGAGCATGTCGACTACTTCAAGGGTCTTTTGGGCACCGAGTCTGCTGTCATTGATGGCGTGACCAACGAGAACGCCACCGATGATATCGAGCCCTTCAACAGCGATTGGATGCGCAAGTATCGTGGCCACTGCAGACTCGTCCTCAAGCCAAGCTCGACTGAGGAGGTCAGCAAGATCCTCAAGTACTGCAATGACAACAAGCTGGCTGTTGTCCCCCAGGGCGGCAACACCGGTCTCGTTGGTGGCTCCGTCCCCGTCTTCGATGAGATTGTCCTCAACATGGGTCGCATGAACAACATCATCGAGTTCGACGAGGTTTCCGGTATTCTGACTGTCGAGGCTGGTGCCATTCTCGAGGTTGTTGACCAGTTCCTGGCCGGCAAGGGCTACATCTTCCCCTTGGATCTCGGTGCCAAGGGTTCGTGCCATATCGGAGGCAACCTCTCAACCAACGCCGGTGGTCTCCGTCTCTTGAGGTACGGAAGCTTGCACGGAACGACTCTCGGTATCGAGGCTGTCCTTCCTGATGGCACCGTTGTCGATGATCTCTGCAAGTTGCGCAAGAACAACACTGGCTACGATATCAAGCAGCTCTTTATTGGCTCTGAGGGCACTATTGGTGTCATTACCAAGGCCGTCATCCAGTGCCCCCAGCGCCCCAAGGCTCAGAACGTCGCCTTGTTCGGTCTCGAGTCCTACGAGGCTGCCCAACAGGCCTTCCGCGAGGCCAAGGGTCACTTGTCCGAGATTCTCTCTGCTTTCGAGCTCATGGATGCTGGCAGCCAGGCTCTTGTCCGCCAAGTCACCAAGAAGAACTCGCCTCTCGAGGGCGAGTACCCCTTCTACTGCTTGATCGAAACCAGCGGATCCAACTCCGACCACGATGGTGAGAAGCTCCAGACCTTCCTCGAGGACGTCATGGAGAAGGGTATCGTTGTCGACGGCACTCTTGCCCAGGACGAGACCCAGGTCAAGGCTCTTTGGAGCTGGCGTGAAGGCATCACGGAAGCCCTTGGTCACCTTGGTGGTGTGTACAAGTACGATGTCTCTATCCCTCTCCCTGAGATGTACCAGCTTGTCGAGGACACCAAGGCCCGCGTTCAGGAGGCCGGCCTCCTCGGTGACACGGATGAGCACCCGGTGCGTGCTGTTGTAGGATACGGACACATGGGCGACTCCAACCTTCACCTTAACGTGTCTACCCGTCGCTTCGACGAGCGAGTGGAAAAGGTTCTTGAGCCTTTCGTCTACGAGTGGATCTCCAAGCGCCAGGGCAGCATCAGCGCCGAACACGGTCTTGGCCTCGCCAAGAAGAAGTACATTGGGTACAGCCGTACTCCCACCATGGTCGGGTTAATGAAGCAGCTCAAGGACCTCTATGACCCGGTAAGTTGATGAGCCTATGACACATCCTGGTTTCTTGCCCCGCCCGCCACCAGCCCTACTGCCCCTAGTTCGACCCCGGAATCACATCGCCCTCAACTGCGGCCCCAAATTATGACCTCCTGCTAACCAGTGATTCTTTCAGAACGCCATCTTGAACCCTTACAAGTATATCTAAAAAGCCCACACCTTTGTTCATCTTGGATAAATCATTCTTTCTTCCAGATCCTGTATATATGCGGCGCTGACTTGCTCGATTCCACCTGGACGGATCCTCTCCTGTCCAACATACCCTTCAGGAGTCAGAGTGGGTTCGGGCCGGTGATACCACTTCGAATTGTATTCCCCCTGATCCTTGTTTATCCGCCTTGAAGCCATCTCCTTTCGTTCTTTCAGGTTAGCTTGGTGATAATGATGGACGTTTATTGCAGTCAATCATGTCGCCAACGACCGCCCATCACTGCAGCTTCTCTCGAACTGTGTAGTCGGTGCTCCCGAAGGCGTAGTCGTTGGCTTGGTAAGCCGATTGGCCGCAGAGCGAGTGGTGAGCAAAGCACCACATCACACATCTCAGCGAACGAGAATCGCCGCCAGGCTTCAAAACACCGGACAGTCACCATTGACGACGCCAGTCCTCGTACACTATATACCTGTTTCCGCTTAGTGGCCAATCACAAGCCGGCATTCCTCTTACATACCACCTTCCATGCCATTCCGTCTGACCAGCCCCATCCGTCAGCCCGTATGCTGCCTGCCTATCCCAGTTGCCGAACCCCTGTGGGCTGATTTCTCCTTAGATGCAGCCCTACAGAGCCCCCTTCGAGCCATTGTTATACTTCCAAGTAGTTACTGGGCCAAAAGCCACATCTGGGGGCTTGTTGCCGCTCTTGCATCGAAGACAAATGACTCGTTGCTGCCGACCGAGAACTACATGCTTGGTTAACCGTTGCCGCCATGCCATCCATATATGTGATCCTACATGCCATCTGTCCCGGGTCCCCCCACCCCCCATCTCATCAAGCACACTCTATGGGAAGGCTTACGAGATACGTACACCGAGGGTGGACTCTACAAAACGCATCTGCGCAACCAAGCCCTCTGCGTGACCGGCTCCATTCCCTAGAGCTCTCTTTGGTTCCGGCATTGTGTAGGTGGTGTGCCAGTCCAGTGATGGCGTCACCCTCTCGGAGTCCTCCCGACAAGCGTCTTGGGCCCTAGGTAGCCGCAGAAAACGCATTACTGAACCGACAGAAGAGAATGTTTCCAGGCAATCTGCTCAGTTTCCTCGGTATAAAACGACAGGTCCGTTTCCAAGAAAGTTCTTCTGATCATGAGGCTGCCTCGGCCGTGACTTGGAGAAGGCTGTACTGTCTCATGGTTGGTTCACTTTGGTCATTGAAGGTTTTCTCATCCCATACGAGAAACGGTCAGCCAGCGTTTCCTACTCATCAGCCTCGGGTGGTTGTCTGCTTCCAAGTGGTCAGCAGATACTGGTCAAGTTTTACTGTATATCAAGGCCTCAGGCCCTTACCCTTTTGGCTGGCCTCTTATGCCTGATTTGTCCTACCTATTTGCCTGCCTGCCTGCCTGCCTGCCTGCCTGCCTACCTCTGACTACTACCTATCTGCTACCTTGCGGCTGGACCCCCATCACACACACATAACGGGTCTACCCATCAGCAATAGTTCAAGAGCTGAGTGAACCGCACCGCTGTAACTTGTCAACACTGTTCGGTAGATACTTGTCTCCATCTTTTCAGATTTCTTCTCCTTTCAGAGACTCGTTCAAGAAGAATCAGAAACAAGCAAATTTACCTCTTTTCATCAACCTGTTACTATCTTCATTGTCCAAACTACTTGGTAACGATGGTCGGAGTTCCCGGAAAATACAAGGGCTGCAATTCTTGCCGTGTCCGGAGAGTCAAGGTAAGACCCATATCCATCACCGCAGTGTCAACTTTCTTGTGAGTAAGCAACTAATGCAACTAGTGTGACAACGAACGACCGTTCTGTAGGAAGTGTATCGATAGTGGTCGCGAGTGTCTTGGCTATAAGCGTGAAACCGTCTTCATTGTCGGAACCATCGAGGACGGCGGGCGTTGTTCGTCTCATCCGCCAAGGGTCATCAAGTCAAAGAAGGCCAAAGCCTCAACCTCGTCGAGAAGTGGAGGAGAGGAAGAAAGGGAGACTCCGCGGAAAAAGCATCAGAAACATCAGAAACTAGAGCTCTTTCCGGATCAGCCTCTTCAGTCGGCCTGGGACGACTTGATTTTGTTGTCGACGAGTTCGGGGACGAAGTACAACGTACAGTTTACCGCTCGGAATACTCGGCTTCAGAATGTTGTCCGCGGTAGTGGCGGCAATAGAGAGGCTACGGGCGAGTTCACTGTGAGCTCGATGGCGGATTACGAAGTCTCGAATATACAGCTTGACTTCAGTGGCCAGGACTTCGAGCTGAAGTCACAGTGTTTGATTAGTTTACCGGAAAGCCAGGACAGAGATCCATACATGCCATCGATCGGCTCATGCATCATGCTTTACGAGGTGAGATATTTCATTGTGATAATAACAATTAAGTACGGGATAAAGTTGTGTTCATAACACTAACACAATCTTCAATAGCACAACAACTCGACTCTTTACACGAATCTCTATGGCAGCCAGTCACTGATCAAGGATTCGGGCACTCAGAATGATCCCATTAGACGCGCAGGGCCAGAGAAATTCCAGACATTCCCTAACCATCATTTCTTTGTCCGAGTCTACCGGCCTAATGCTGTGAGTCCCACCCAATTGCTGATAGTGATATGATTCGATAACATTCGACTAACCACTGTTTGTTAGATCCTGACCGCGCTGCTCAACCGCACTCCGACTTTTCTCGAATCCGCAGAATGGACCTCCACTCCCTGGGAGAAGCACCCCAAGTCCATCCTTGATCAGCTTTTCGACATAATCACCCTCCTACCTCGCAACCTCTGGCGAGCAGACCGAGTCGCCGAAGAAGTACCCACGCTTGCCCGTCGTCAGCGTGCTCAAGACCTCTTGATCAACTGTCTCAACATCGAACGACAACTCAACGCCTGGTCTTCATCCTACAGCGCCGAGACAACGACCGCTATTTCACGCCAGGCAGCCGCCGTCATCACACCCTCCTCGTCCTCAACATCGATGTCAGACTATGGGCAATCTCCGCCCTTCCAAACAGCTCTACCCACCACAACAGCAACCTACCCTTACCTCCCCCCTTCCTCATCACCCTATTTCCAATCCCATTCCCACTCTTACTCCCAAACCCAACCCTCCTCCCATCCCCACCGCCGCTCCTTATCCAATTCGACTTCCATATCCCACTCCAGATGTACCCCCTCCCCCACCCCCTCCGCATCTGCTTCTTCCCCGCGCTTCCAACCCTACCTAACAACCTCCCCTCACTCTCACTCGCATAAACCCCTCCAACCAAGATCTCGCCGCACCTCTCCATCCTTCACAAATCGCCCAGCCACTCCATACGGCTACTCGGCAGGATACCCCTTCACCAAACCCCCCTTAACCTTCCCCACCTCCCAGCTCGCCCTGTCCTACATTTTGTATTGCACCAGCCTGATGCAGCTCTACCAAACAATCGAGCGCGTATATTGGAGCATCTTCGAGCCGTTGAACCTGACCGACCTTCCTACCGGAAACCACCTGCACAGCAGTATCCAGTTACAGATGCAGGCGCAGATGCAACAGATACAACAGCTTCCAGTCGATCTCATCCCCGACCCGGCGAGGTACGGAAGTAAAGCGGTAAGGGAATGGGCGGAGAGGACATGTAGGAGCTTGGAGTTTGCGTTGAACAACAACATCAACAACACTGGCAGTGGCGTTGGTGGCGGTGGCGGCGGTGTCGACCCGGAACTGTTGGCTTATCCTCTTTGCGTAATAAGGGCGTTTTACGAGAGTTTGGGGGCTACTCCTAGTTGGGAGAACCTCGGTGTTGGCATGGATGTGGACATGATGGGGGTTGATGGTATAGCGATGGGCATGGGCATGGGCATGGAAATGAACATTGGCATGAATCATCAGAATATGATGACTGGTGGGATGGGAAGTATGAGTTATTCATCGGGGATGGAAAACTTGAATATCTTCTCGACGAGGCCCACGACGACGACGACGACGACGACAGCGGCAATTATGATGCAACAACAACAGCAACAACCTCAGGCACCGCCGCCGGACGGCAGACTGGAAGTTATGTGGTGCGATCAGTTTAGGGAGAGGTTAAAAGCTAGGGGGGCGGAGATTTCCAGTTCTATTGTGGGTGAAGGAAAGAAGTGGAGGGAGATTGCTGCTTTTGGGTATTGAGGTCAGATAGGTAAATACGGGAACACGAGACAAAGACGGGTGGTGTACGGGTTATTAGATGAGAACACGATGCAATGATGGAGATCAGGGGCTGGCTTTTCCCTACTCTACCTTGACTTTTCTTTTTCCCTTTTTTTTCTTTGAAGGGGATATAAACAAACAAGATACTTACCGGCTGGAAAACGCTGGGCCTCGCGAGAGGTTTGAAGAACGATATTGGGACGGTAAAGAACGGTTTTGCGTTTGCTTTTGGGTTTTTCGAGTGTCTTGCTTTTTGCTTATAGTTTGCTACTGTGCTGTGTTTATCCTTGGTTTTTTTCTTAAATGGAAAGTCGCTGTTCTTTTGTCGTGAATTTTCTCCAATTTTGCTACCTTGTATTGACATAATCAATTCACGTTTATACATTCTTTTCCTCTTTTCTTGCCATGAAATCGATAACTACCATAGAAGCCTGCCAAATTGGGACTCGGGTAGCTACAAAATCTGCCAGAATTGACCACTCAGAGTAACATAACGCACTGAGAGGATCTCAGAGTCTGATTCATTGTGAAGCTATTACAGTCTGGAACCTTATTTCCACCTAAAGTCGGCATTTGCACATATACCCGAGTCCCCATTTTAGCAACTTTCTACGATACCTATCGAATTTGTCTCTGCGGTTCGAGTACCCGAAACCCTTTCAATCGAACTTCGCCTCTCCTCGGTATACCACTCGCTGTCTCACACGTGGACTAACAAAAGTATCAAGATCTCGTGCTCACGCCTGACACATTTGCCACCTTGGCTTCTTTCACCGCAGGCTAACAGCGGCTTATGTGTACTAGATCCCTTGGTAGGCCACTCACACCTACCTACCTACCTACCTACCTACCTTACCCATCTATTTCACGCAGACATAGCACACACGACCAAACACCAAAACGGTGAGACTTGGTTGTCAACCTCATTCCTTTTCTTCTTTGGGATAACCCCACTTGATGACTATCTATCTACCTACCTAAAACTCTGACCTTTTCTTCACAACAGATACTCAACACAATACAAAAGTGTTCATAAAGAGTAGGTATGTGGACTGGAAATCATCACACGACCAATATCTCACGATACACAACACAACGAAACGAAATACCTACCTTACCTTACATAAGCCCCCCCACGAACAGCCATGTGCAGCCCTCCATTACCCCAGACTAGAGAACCGGATGACGGGATCGGCGTGGCTGCGACTGTGAATCTCACACCGCAACACACACACTTGCATCCGCGAATCTAGGTACCTAGGTTGATCTAACATAACCTAATCAATCTGTAATGGTCACATTCAATGCAAGGAGTTGGTGCGTCGCCATAGCCAGGTCAGGCATTACTGAGACCAAAACCAAGACCAAGACCAAGACCGTTTGTTCATTCTAGGCACGTACCTAGAGTGAGTGTCAGTCGGTCGGTCAGTAAGACGAAAGTGTAAGGCGTTCGTCGTGTCGTGGGGGGGGATCAGGATGTTAGACTAGGGTTTCATTGAATCTGACAGTGACTGACTGCTATGGGAGTCACAGCCTTGTGGAAGTGGGTAACCGTGGGTGTCAAGTGGTTGAGAGAGATCTGTGTAAGCACGCGACACCCATTCTCTACACAGATCTCTGAACCACACACCCACTGTTGTCTGCTGGACTTTGGGATGGTGCTTGGAAGTACTTGTTGCTTTTAGTACCTCTAGGTATGTTAGGAGAGGTACTTCTACAGACGAGAGTAAGGCTGCAAGAATAAATAAGACAAGTGCACTTGTTCTGGTGGTTGTCAGTTGGGTTATGTTGCATGACAGGCTGTTGTCATGGTCCTTGCAGTTATCGGATTATACATACCCCGGACCAAAAAGCCGAGTAGTCATCGTATCTTGGTGTCGTAAGATAACTAACTTGGCTGACGAGTTTGGTGGCATATCTGCGGAGACAGAAAACATAATTATGATATACAGATGTGATGGGAATTCCAAAGATACCTAATGTCAGGTGCACCATTACTAACACACTTCCTTTTTTTTTTTTTCCACTCGCTGTTTTCTTCCCAACTACAACTCTTCCCATCTCCACCTCCGTTTTTCGTTCACCGTTGAGAATGAAAGCGACGTGTCTTTTATCCATTATCGTCCGTTTTTTATTTTAACCTAGTTCGGTACCTATTACTCATTTACCGTGCTGAGGTGTGCTGTTTGATGTGGCTTCGTCTTCGTATGTAGGTACACTTACCATTGCTTACCAACTGTTATGGCAACCTTGTACCATAAACCTTGACACCAGACCTTGAAAAGAAAACTTCACTTATCCAGTTGACTAAACCACACTTGTTACTTGTCACTTGAGCCTCAATGGGAAAAAAAAAACCTACATAACTTGGTTGTGACAAACCCATGATTCGGAATCGAATACATACGCAGTATACGTACAATAACATGTGATTGGCTGACTGCGACGGACTCGGGGAACTTTGAGAGTTGAGATGTGGCAAAAACAAGAATCCTTTAGTCCTGCTAGGCTATGAGCACCAAAACACACTCTAAGCGCCGATGACCAAGAGTTTCTCACTTCGGGGTTTCCGTGCAAAACGATTGTGAAAAGAGACTGAGGAAAGAAATATGTGATTACTCGAATTTCGGAGCAACGGCGAGACATATGAAGAGACTGAAAACCCCCTTACTGTGTTCTTAGCTTGTCGTTCTCAATCCAAACTGGGTCATATGTTTGGTGCTGGGTTTTCGTGGTTTGGCAGTTGACGGTTGCGGTACCCAGCCAAGCGGTTAATTTTATACCCAGGTCATCAAGTGAGGTACGCTAGATGATGCTACTACCAGCCGGCTCCAACATTCATGTACATCGACGGATGCTGAAGAGACATGATAAGCTACAACTGCTATTATAAGCACCCCAACCGCTCGGTATCATCATCTGCAAGCAAACAACATCCTAACCTACAATATACTCCCCTGACTACTCCCCGCAAAACTCCCACTCCTCCCTTCCCTCGTCCCGCCCTGCCCCTGAAAGTAATCCCTCCTCTCAACACCCAACAACCCAGCACTCTCTCCCCTCCCCTCCTCCCTCCCCAGCCCACTCCCCATTCTCCCACTACCAATACCCCCCGCACCCCCTGCTCCCACAGCATCCCTCACCCGCTCCTCCGCCCCATTCATCACGTGCCATACGTCCTTCCTCGTCAATAATCCCTGCAACACTCCCCTCTCCGCGAAAAGCACATACCGCACCCCCAACTTCTGGAAATAACTCACGGCTAGATGCAACGGGCTCCTACCGGGAAGGGTCAGGGGCGTCTGGTCCATCCACGGTCTTAGGTCAAGAGTAGCCAACGGGTCCGCAAGCGGCTGATGACTGAAGAAGCACTCCGTTTCAGGCGGTAGGTTCGAGGCTCTTCCGCCGGGAGAATAGAGAACGTAGGATAATTCGGCGCGGGAGATGTACCCCAAGAGCACCGCGTCGCGCGGGTTGGAGATGACGGGGTACCCGCGGTAAGGTGTGGTTTCGAGGATTTTCTGTAGTGAAGCGATCGTGTGCCCCGTGGCAGTGAGGACGATGAGGTCCGAGTCCAAGCGGGTCATGATTTGACTAGCCGGCACGTCGGGGATCAGCGGGCTCAAGTCTTCGCCCGAGTTGTTGGGGTCCAGGTAGGGGTACGAGTTGAAGTGGATCCAGGACTCGTAGATGCCTCTGCGAGAAAAGGCGTCGCCGACCCATTTGGCGATCATGACGGAGATCATGATGGGTAAAACATAAGTCAAAGCGCCGGTGAGCTCAAAGGTGATGACGACTATGGAGACGGTCATACGGGTTACGCCCGTGAGAAAGGCGGCGGCGCCGATGATGGCGTAGGTGCCAGGGGTAATGCAGGGGACGTCGGGCTCGCATTGGTGTAGGAAAAGCGGAAAGTTCGGGGCGGCGCGCTGGAAGAGTTCCATGAGGATTCCCAAGGCACGGCCGGTCAGGGCGCCGATGGCCATGGAAGGGAGGATGATGCCGGCGGGGATTTGTAGGCCGAAGGTCACGGCGGCGAAGAAGAAGCCGAGGACGGCGGCGAAAATGAGTAGGGTGATGGTGCCGAAGGAGGCGGCGCCTGTCTTGCAGAGACCGAATTGGTCATCGACGATCTTGGCGCACTCGGTGAAGAGGTTGGAGACTAGCTCGGAGGTTTGGGCGCGCATGTAGTGGTTGGGGTAGTTGATGAGGGCGGTTAAGCCCGCGACGATGGCGACTTGGGTGACGGGACCGGGAAGCCACCTAGTGGATTTCTTCCATTCGGCGACGCGCATGTTGGCTTTGATAAAGAGACCGCCGTAGACGCCACCTAGGATGCCGAGAAGGACAAAAGGGACAAGTTCAAAGCCGTGCCAGCCGGACGAGTACTTGACTTGGTAAAGCACCAGCTTGCCGGATCTGAAGGGGTCGAGGGCCTGGAGAGTAACGGCAGCCGTCATGGCACACACGAAGCTCTGCCACATGGTTTTGTCGGGGAAATAGTAGGAAAGCTGTTCAAGACTGAAGAGCACGCCGCCGATGGGGGAGCCAAAGGCAACGGATATTCCGGCGGCAGCCGCTGCGGACAAAATCTCCCTCTTGCGTGCTGTCGGGGGTTAGCTTAGGACGTTGATAGGTGGATTTACTACACTACATACCTTCATTATTATTGATACTTGGAAAGAGCTTGATGAAGACGTTTGCGCAACAGCAGGCGACATGAACCAAGGGACCTTCTTTGCCCAACCACATGCCGGACGCAACAGCAAGCACAAGACCTAGCGACTTTGTCACCAAGGTCTGGATTCCTAGAAACCTGCGGATGACGAAGCCTCCTAGGACAGTCTTGATTTCGGGGATACCACTATGTTTAGCATAGATGGCATATTCCTTGACCAAGATGGCAGCAGAAACGGCAAAGGATAACTGTAGCTTAGATCAGCTGGGGTTGCCTTCATATCTTGTCGGACTCTGGGGGGAAGCATACTGCCAGGAATACGTAAAAGAAGTACTCAAGGAACCACTTGCCACCTCCTGAATTGATACCAAAAGCCTTGGCCCAGGGATACCAGCCCTGGCATTGGGCATGGTCCTCATAACCCAAGCAACATGAGCTCTTGCTCAGGTGAAAGGCTCCGCCGTCCACAGTTGAGCAGAATCCGAACTTGAGATCCGCCAGCCAATCGGTGGCTACATCGATGGCGGCAGCCAACAGACCGGCAGCCAGACCAGTTAACAGCAGAACAATCCAGACCTGGCTGTTGTCGAGGAGCAGGCGGATCCAGCCCACGAGACTGTTGGAGCCGGAAGATAGCATTCGCAGTCTTGAGCGTTCCTTGGTGTACTCGAAGATCCAGTCGATGGCGGTCAAGTCCTCGTAGCCAACTCTCCTCCCCGGGCCTTCGACATACCAATCCATGGGTCCGCCATCTTTTGGCCCAGACTGAGTGCCATCCAAGCGGGTGTTTGACGTAGGTGATGGTCGGCCAGGTACATCGTGAGAGTTCCGAGGAGATTGTCCACCAGTGAAAGCTGAGAAGAGCCGCGATGGCTGTGAGAAGACGGATTGCTTTTTTTGTCTGCGCTTGAACGACATGGGCTGGTTTAGGTCATCTCGCAGAGGGTCCTCATCGAGGATCATGTCGTTGTCGTTGTCATGATTGTTGTTGTGGTCATCATCATCGCCCAAAAGATCCAACTCGTCCCGGTCATCTTCAATGGTTGCGCGACGGTGTTCTTCCCATTCGTGTTGGCTGTCGAATGCTGCTGGGGTTGCCGAACTGGAAGGATACCCGTCGTCCATCATCGCACTTCTAGAAGCCATAGTGAATACAATGACAGAGCATTTCCCATTCTCGTCTCAAAACAAAGATGCCGGTGGATGTCGTCCCTCTTGTTCGTGTTTGCGATGAGACGAACATTCAGCTTCATTAGGAGAGTTTGTCCAGCAGTGAGGCGTAGTGAGATGGGGGCGCTGTGAGGCCTGATAAGAGCATGTTCTTATCGGGGTGCATCAGGGACATGCACAGCATTGACAGGGCCAAGCCTGCTAACGCTTGGCGGTTCTGGAGTTAAGCACCTTGCCAAGACCCAAGCCCACTTGATGGAAGATGCCAAGCCTTTACATTAACGACGTCCCTTCTCTTCTTCCATTTTCTGTGTGTGCATTGACTTTCATCTCTGGAGGATTGTGACGTGGAAAAGCATATAGGAAATATTCTTGAATTCAAGACTGAATCTGAAATTTTGGCTTGTGTGGGAATCACAGTGGACAATCTCCCATACAGAATTTCTCTCCAGCAGCAAGCTGCGAACTTCGTCATCTATCGATCATCCTTCTTCCAAATCCACAACCTCAACTCAACACCCACTCACGTAAAGGAACCACAAACATCACAAACAAATATATCATGAGTGACCCAACCCAACAATCCGTCATGAATGAACCAACTCAACAACAAACCGGGCAGCCTGATCCCATACAAAATGCCCAAACACTCCTTAGAGCAAAGGACGACACCTCCCGCTTTGTGGGCCTCGCCCTTCTCAAGTCAGTACTCGACAACTCGGAAGAGTTGAGAAACAACCAAGAGGCAGTCCGCGGTCTCTGGAAGAGCGTTCCGTCAAAGTTTCTGGATCGGCTAATCAAGACCGGCTCGCGTCAGCAGTCCCAGTCCGAAGGGGGAGGAAACAAGAATGCCCGGGACATGCTAGATTTGGCCGTGGCCATCATCCACACCTTTGCCGCTCTGGTGCCCGAAGAAAATAAACGAGACTCGAGGTTTACCGAGAGGATACCACATTTGGTGGCCTGTCTTTTGAACTGGTGAGTTCTTCTCATCTTACCTTTACAAATTCCCAAAACTAACAATGAAACAGTTCAAACGAGACGACCAAGATGGTCCTAGAAACCCTCTCAGCCCTCGTCACCACGCCAGACGGCGCCAAAGCCTTCATCGCCCTGGACGACGTCACCACTTTAATCGAGATCGCCCCCTCACAGCCCTTGGTCCTCGACATCTTCTTCTATGCCTGGTTAAACGCCACGAATTCATCCGTCTCCTCCTCCGCCGAAGACAAGGACCTCCTGCGGACCAAGATCGACCACACCATCACCGCTCTCGTCTCCTCCTTCAAGGGCACCGACGCCGTCACCCTCCTCGACTTTCTCGCCAACCTGCTCCCCCGCCTCGAGCCCCAAGTCCTACCGCAAAACCCTCAATGGCTACCCACTCTCAACCTCTTCATCCGCAACCTCGTTTCCAGCCGGCCTACCCCCGCCGGCCGCGCCGCTTATACCAACCTCTCTGCTGCCCTACTGGAAGTTTACCCATCCCTCGCTCCGCAACTGCTCTTCACCGATGACCCCTCCGGTAAAGGCAAATCCAAAGCCAACCCAACCGACGACAACAAACCCTTCTCGTACCTCCTCATTTCCATTCTCCTAATCGACATCCGCTCCACGGCCCCGACCCTCTTATCCCAACTCAACAGCCCTTCCTACCCTCAATCCTCCCGCCGCCTAAGCTCCGCATTCAACATCATCTCCCACTACCTCGGCTTCCTCCTCCGCTCCCTCGACCCTTCCTCCGACTCCTCCTCCTCTTCAGAGTCCCACTCCCACTCCCACTCCCTCCTCCCGGACCCCACCTTCCTCCTCAAACTCCGCACCTCCCTCTCCGAGACCTTCTCTCTCACCCTCGAATTCCTGCGAGACCGCTACGACGCCAGCGTAGCAGGCGCCATGGGCCTGGACCCCTCCGCCCGCTCCTCCGCCGCTTACAACGACTCCTCCTCCTCTGCCTCGGGCGGCGCCTCCCACTTGACTCTCTCCTGGGAAAGTATGAAAGACAGCGTCGAGCAAGACCCGCTCATCCTCGCAGCCATTCGCGCGCTGGCCATCTGGCTACGGGAAGACGACAACGAGCAGCTCCGCAAGGAAGCAAGTGGGTTAGGCGATTTGTTTATTGATTTGTACCGCCACAGCTGTCATCAACCTGACCAGAAGAAGAAGAATGACCAGAAGTTGTTGGATTTCCGAAGACCGATACTGATGGCGTGGGAAGGGCTGGTGGAAGAACGTAAAGGCGTGGAAAGCTTCTTGGCGAATGGGGGGTGGCAGGCCTTGGCTGATGATTTGGTGGGGATCCTTCAGTTTACTACTAGTACTTCTTCTTCTTCTTCTGGGGAAGTAGTAGTGGACGAAGCGGAGGCAGCAAGAGGTACAGAAATCGTTCGCGTTCTACTGCAAGTTGCTGAACTGGAGAGGCCGGGACCAAAAGAGGAGTGGTTGGATTTAGTCACCAAGGTGGCGGCGTGGTATATTCCCGAGGAGGAGGAGGAGGAAGGCGATCAAGACGTGGAGATGGTAGGCAAGGAGTCCAAGCTGGTGGTGTATGAGTTCCAGGTTGCTACGCTGCAGCTTGTTACGACTTTGTTGGCGGGGAGTCATCCGGGGGTGCAGAGACGGTATGTGCATTCTACCAGCGCCGTGCTGGGGATTGCGAGGGTGCTGATGGGGAAGGTGAGGAAGGTTGGGGATGGGGAGCTGGTGGAGGCGTTGGAGGATGTGTTGGCGACGTTGGGTGGGTTGAGGTAGATTGGTACATCGTGTGGGTGGAAAGTGATGGGACAGATGGAAATATGGAAGAGGGGTTGGAAATAGGGAGACTGAAAGATACCCAATTCATTTTATTCCGTACCACTGATGCTAGGTACCCTGTCATGCTCTTTTTATCACGTCTAACACTATTATTGTGTTCCAGTCAATGTAAGCATGTGCTGCTCCTTCCTTGCCACCTTTGCAGTAATAATGCTGGGTTGACTACAAGCCGCTTTCCACAATACCTTCCCTTCAAGAACGACGTTGAGGGTTACGCCGCCCACGGCACGGAGAGCTCTCTCTTCTGTTTCTGAACTGAACTCTTTTCTTACAATTTCCTCAGAAGAGCTTTTTGGAGTGAGCGCTTTCCCCACGACAGCCTCTTCCTTCACGACATCCTTTTCCATCCACCGGGCTCTCCTCTTCACTGACTTTTTTGGTGGTTCATGTCTAGTAGTCGTCCTCGTCATCCGTGTGGCGGCGGGGACTATCCGCCCTCTCAGAAGCATCTCTCTCACGTCGCCTATCCTCCTCCTCCTCCTCATCATGATGCTCCGCTTGCCCCTGCTGCTCCGTATGCTCCTCCTGGTACTCCTCGCTGACACCAGAGTATCCGATCGGGTTAAGCTCGAATTGCTTGATATCAGCCTTGAGGCCCTCATGCGGCTCATCGATTGTTACGTGCAGCTCGTCAGGGAACCTCTCGCTGTCGTCGGCTATCTTTTGTGCAATGTTGCGAGTGCGCTGATTCCGGAGGGTGCTGCGCTGCATAATAGGATAGTAATACATGCCCCTCTGATCGGTGGTGCTGTCGCCCTCTCCCACGTCGTCGCGGAACGCCAAGATAACTTCGCCATTGTATTTCGTGTCGTGATCGTACTCGGTCTCGGCCGAGGTCTCGTAGGGGCGCAGGCGGGGGAACACAAAGTGCGGGCCCTTGCCGTCCTTGTGTGGGTATAGACCTTCAGAGTCGTGGTCCGGGTTGTCGACGTCGAATCTCGCGCGGAAAAGATTGCTTTCCTTGGCATCCGAGGGAAGAAATAGGTTGTAGTTCATCATGGAACTAGGGGCGGGATGGTTCTGTGGATCTTCATTGTGTAACTCTTGCGCCAGCTGGAAGGCCTGTTCTTCGGCTTCACTCCGCTCAATGGGCTTCAAGATGCCCGCAAGCATGCGAGGATCATACTTGTCGCTCGAGTTAACGGGGTTGGTAGTGAACTTGACCGTCACGTAAGCACCAGAGTCGGGGAATGCCGTGGTGTCGGGGAGTAGAGGGAAAGCATCGATGCATTTGACGTTGCGCTTGGTCGGATGCCTGACCTTGGTCTTGTCGGCCAGATTGGCTGCGGCAATATCGAAGCTCTTCTCGATACGGCGACGGATCCAGGCGGGAGTGCCCTTGTCGGGCTCGGGAGAGGCCTTGCGTTTCTGAGGTCGCTTAAGGGCGTTGTCCTTGTTGGAGCTATTGGAAGAGCGGTTGTTGAGGAAGACATTGTCCCTCTTAACTTGTACTGAGGCGATATATTCGGTGCGGCGGAGGAAAGATACCGACTCGGTGCCGATCTTGGGCTTACCGAGTGTGTTGAGTGGTCTGAGGAGAAGACGATCGTGTGGGTGAATAGGTGGCGGGGGATTCTGTGCAGAGATGGCTGCCCATTGTGTTAGTATACTAGTTCATGTGATCAACGCCTAGGTAAAAAGGGGTACGCACCATCCTCGTTGCCGTCAAAGACACCTGGCATGCCGACCAGGTCTAGAGGCATACCGAGCTCGGCATCGACCTCGATGTTTAGGGGCTGCTCACGCGCAAGGCGCGAGGCAAAGCCAGGATTGGTGTATTGGCCGCTCGACAGGCCCGTGCTGGGGATGTTGAGTAGCTTGGGCGGATTAGGAGGGGGTGGTAGAGCATTGGAATATCTGATTCTGGCGATGTAATCCTGGTGGATCATGCGCTCTTCGCGCCCTCGTGGGTGTTGCGACATGGTGTTTGTCTGTGTTGTGTGGTTATATGATGATGTCGTGTGGATGTGGGTGGCTGTGAAAACCGAGTCGGGTTAAGATTGATGGTTGTGGATTGAGTTTAAACGGGAGTCGGAGCTTCGAGAGCAAGGTGATGAAAGTGGTCGCAGCGAAAGTGAGTCGCGGTCGAGATGCAGCTGAAGGCGCGGTTGCGTTGCGGTTGCGGTTGCGGGATGGTGTGTGCCAACAGACAGGGGCCGGGACACTGGATTCAAAAAATGAAGACAAGGCTGGTGGTTGGTCAACTGGTTGGTCAAGCTCGTCCTGGACAAAATAGTTGAGACCTTTGACATTACCTATACCTTGGGTATGTATGCTCTTACTACGCATTAAAGCGTCCTTGTTACATCTTTAATCTTGAATCTTGGGCAATTCCTGGATAGAAATATCCAAATGGGACTCTAGCCGATATCATTCGAATTGTTGTAATCCATATCACATACAGTCTTGCGACGGTCTTGTTTTGTTTCTTTCTTTACTTAAACCTTGACGAGCGGTAGCGAACTCGTTTACCCAACATGTTGGTTGGTCCCATCAATTTTGTCCCGTACGAATCAAGTAGCTTGCGCCGGAGCTGATGTTCAGAGCTAAAATAACTGCAAAGCTGTTGAGAAAAGGAAATTGGGACCCAGTTTGGAAAGAACTGAAAGCAATCGAGAGCTTTAGTAGGTGCTTTTGTTGGTAAAAAGTGTCGAGGTTCAACCCAGCTGACGTTTCGTTACGCTTCTTCCATTCTGTTGGAGGTTCCTGTCACTGAGGAGCGCCTGTGCCGGCCGCAAAGAAAAAATGGGCCCCACGCAGCCTTAAGGTTCCCTTCTCTGCAACTTTGTTGATTTCCATTCATTGACCCCTGAATATCGGGCTATGCTATGGTTTTGACACTATTGGCAGCATGGCATGGCGAGAGACTTTGTAGTAACTTTACATTTCCAGATGCAAATTCAATTCCAGCTGTCATTATGGTCAATCATTTTGCTCTCTAAGTGATATCCTGTATGGCCTGCTTCCAGACACCGCCATGTTTTTTTTTGTTGTCGTCCGTCCGTTCTCTTCACTCATGGCGTGTGTGAAACTGCTAATCAAGTGTGAGATAGTTCAGAACCCCCTCTTGCATCCATCCATCCATTCGTTCATCCATCGCCTGTCATGACAACTATCAGAAGGCCAACAATCCCGTATCCCAGCCCAGGCATCAGATTAGAATAGTATATATGAAAAAGATATACAGGATAGTTGCTCATCGTCATAAATGCTCCATCAACATGGCGCATTCCCCCGTCATTAGTACATTGAGAAGTTTTGTCTTTCTTTCTACCGCGTTTGACCTAAATTCGGCCCGCGAAACACTTCCTTCTCTCCCCGGACAACGCAAAAGGGCCAGAGACAGACTAGCTGCCCTATCTGACACTCAGCAACATCAATCAACTTCGGCAACAGCACAACTGCTTAGTTGCTGTTCTTGTTGTACCGCGCCTTGCCAATGGTAAAGGGGACGTAGCGGTACTTGATCATGTGCTGGATTTGCTTGCGCACTGTTTCATATCGTTAGCTGCGGTTCAAAGTTTCAAACAAGAATGAGTTTGACAGGGGCGATGCAACGTACTGGTGAGGATGAAGAGCATGAGCCAGTACATAACCAGCACGGGCCAGAACACGGGAATGTTGAAGATCTCGAACCAGCTGCAGAGGAAGGAAATGGCAACAGCGCGGGTGGCCGAATGCCAGAACTTGAACTCGGGAAGGCGGCGGATGAAGGGCCTGAACTCCTCGTCCTGCTTGGTGGGGAGGGTACCGACAGAGCCGTCCTCCATTTCCGTGTCGAGCGCATCACTCGAGGGGTCGAACTTGGGCGTGAGGAAGGCGAGGAAGAGGTTGAGAAGGTAGATGCCGAGGGCATAGGCGACAATGTACCAGCCTTGTGCCACGAACACCCGCACGAAGAAGAGAAACAGGGCGACACCGGTGCCAACCCATCGGTACGTAACATAGGGCGTCGACTGATCGAGGAGTGCTTGGTATTGCTGAAAGGGCCCAACTGTGTTAGCCAACATGACAGTAGCAAAGAGGCAAGAGCAGTAAACGCACTCTCTGGAGCTTGTTGCTCTGTGCAGTGAAAGTGCCAAAAGGCGTCATTGGCTCCTCCGCGGTCTCCATTGCGACGGTGTTGGTAAGGGCGTAAGTGTAGCTCGTTTTGCTTCGTTAATCGATCGTGTCTCGCTGATATATTGTGTCCAAAACCGTTTGATCGGGAGGTGGAGGTGGAAAGGTGTTCGTGGGTTGGTGATTGCAAAGGGAAGACGAGAGATGTTGGCAGAAGGGAAAAATGATTGTCGGACACTGCGCATGTAGGGACGGTAGCTGTACACTATACTACACTAGCAGCAGCACGGGCACCGTACCTTGTAGGGTAAGACAGCACTCCAGTTTCGTTGCGCGTATCAAGCAGGGGCCGTTATCCCAAGGGAATGACGAAGACGGGGGCCCGCCGATTGGGGGAGGGACACCTTTTCCGTGGCGGGCAAAAGCTGGCATTAGCCACGCAACACAAGCCTAGACTTGGCTCGTGAAAAGGGGTGGAATTTCTTGGAGTGTGGCGCTGATGGTATTCCCTCGTTAGCTCCCGTCAGACCCCCCTGAAGCCGAACAGCCCGAAAAGTGTGGCTGGTGATGGACGTCTTTGAAACCGTGGAAACGGCCCGCCCGCTCCCCCAAGACAAGAAAAGCAAAGGACAGTTGCAAGGATCGACAACAGACAGGCATTCCCCAATTGACGTCGTTTAGACCGAGGATAACCAGTGAGGCCAAGCGTGTGGGGAATTGGGGAGCTGGGGAATGGGGACCTGGATGGCCCATCAGAGCTCGGGAGCTACCTACCCCTCGGTTTGACGGGTCACTCACTTATATAAGCTGCGGTCATTGATGATTTATTTACATGCTCTGTGCTGCTGCTGCAAGTGTTGTGTTTCTGGATTCTTGCCATTGACCTTTTTGTTTCCGTGACCAACTCGTCTGATAGAACCGAATCACCCACCACAATCATGCGTTCAGTTGCCTTCAACAACACCCTCCGGGGTCTATCCCGGGCCGGCTCCCGCTTCCAGCCCGCTACCCTTCCCCGTGTTGCGGCTGCCCGTGCCTATTCTACTCCTGCCGAGAGCCAGTATGAGTTTATCCAGGTCTCCGAGCCCCGTCCTGGTGTCGGTCAAGGTAAACAAACACCCTTTGCTTCATCTAGATACACCCAATCGTCACGCAATGATGTCCGTCCCCATTAAATGGGAACATGAATCCATCGAACTCCAAAGAACCTCCTCTTTTTCCTTCCCTATACCCTCCTAAACCTCGAAGCCCAAGACTAACCAAACCCACCCTCACCGGACAGTAACCCTCAACCGCCCCAAAGCCCTCAACGCCCTCTCCACCCCGCTCATCACCGAACTCAACTCGGCCCTCCTCTCCTTCCAACAATCCCCCACCATCCGCGCCATCGTCCTCACCGGCTCCGAGCGCGCCTTCGCCGCCGGCGCCGACATCAAGGAGATGGCCCCCCTGACTTTCTCCAAGGCCTTCCTCGACTCCTTCATCGAGTCCTGGTCCAACCTGACCTTCACCGTCAAGAAGCCCATCATCGGCGCCGTCTCCGGCCACGCCCTCGGCGGCGGCTGCGAACTGGCTCTGATGACGGACATCATCTACTGCACCAAGACGGCCAACTTTGGCCAACCCGAGATCAAGCTGGGCACGATCCCCGGTGCGGGCGGGTCCCAGCGGCTGACGAGGGCGGTGGGGAAGAGCAAGGCTATGGAGCTGATTCTCACGGGAAAGAGCTTCAGTGGTGAGGAGGCGGAGAGGTGGGGAGTTGCGGCGAGGGCATTTGATAGCTATGAGGAATTGATGGAGCAGGCGCTCAAGACGGCAGAGACGATTGCGGGATATAGCAAGGTGGCGGTGCAGGCGGCGAAGGAGGTGGTTAACAAGAGCCAGGAGGTTGGACTGAGGGATGGAGTAGAGTATGAGAGGCGCATGTTCCATGCCTTGTTTGGAAGCCAGGATCAGAAGATTGGAATGAAGGCTTTTGCGGAGAAGGGCAAGGCCAAGTGGGTTGATGAGTAATGTATGACTGGTTGGACAGGACAGTTGTATGTTTAGGTTAGAAGAGAAATGAAGATTTGTGATTACCCTCAAGCCCGCTATGCATAACATCTCCAACCTCCTTCCCTCCTTCCCTTCTATTCACAATATCAAAACGGGACAGCAGCGAATGTGAATTCAACAATCAGATATTATTCCCAACTACGCAATTCCTACCTAGAAAGTAGTAGTTTGTAAGCATTAACACACGTCTCATCCAACTTTGGATGAGATCAACCAAAACAAGTAAGCCAAGGCAAAGCCAAAGCAAAGCCAAAACAATACAAAACAAAACAAAACTGCTTACCTCACTAACACTGCCAACACAATAACCTACCACCCACTCTCCTAAACCATATAAACCTGGGGTTATCTCTTACACGACACAATTACCCATCAACACAAACCCATCACTTACCAACCCACCTAGACAAGCAAGGACGTCTTCGAGAGACAGCGACAGCGACAGATACAGTTGTTCGACACTGAGTCAGCAACACCGACAAGCTGCAAACAAACAAACAAACAAAAGTACTGCTTGAGGTGTTCGAATAAGACTTATTATTCTACCTTTCTCCCCCCAAAAAACATGTACTATGTCTGTATGCCTATGTGGCGGCGGATGGCGAGCTATGTGTAGCGTCTATCAGAGATTCTTCAAGCATATTAAAATCTTAACATTGCTCGCTTTCCTTTCTCTGTAAAAAGTTCCGTTCGTCTTCTAATAAGTTATGTATCCTCTAAGAAGCCAAGCCTAGCCAAGCCAAAACAAGCCGGTGAGGCGCGCAACGTATATATGCGGATCTAGAAGAGCAATTCCGCCCTTCGAAATTTTTTCGTCTCATGAAGCTGCACATGTCCTGTAGATGAAAAAAAAACAAACAAAAAAAACGCCTCGCTTGTCGCCGGTGTGATGTAATGTGATGTGTGATGTGTAATGTGCAGCGTAATGTGTAGTGTACCAATGCAAATGAGTCGAATATGATATGTGTATGTCGAGACACCAAAAACCAGGGGGATTATCGTATCATACCATATCGTACCATATTATATCATGTGTACCCTTCCTTCCCTTTTCCCCTCTCTAACACCGAAAAAAAAGAAAAAAATCGTGGTATCATTGTTGAAGAAGACCGAAAAGAAAACACCATACGTAAGAAGAGAGGTATGTATGAGTGAAGAAAGAAATAAAACCCTAAACTCCTCCTCCTCACCATAGGAACAAGAAACATCCATCACTCGCTGAAATCAGTAGGAGTGGACGGGAAACTGGGCTCCGACTTGCGCTTCATCAACTTCAGATTATGATCCACTCCCACTCCCAGCCTTGGCGGGTCCGTCAGTGTATTCTGATCGGACTCAGGCCGGCGGTCCGAGTCAGATGGGAACGGGAAGCCCTCGTGGATCGTCTCCTCGCGGTGTTGCTCCGGATTCGTTGCTCTCCTACGCATGCTATGCCAGCCATTAGGGTTGATGCCGTCTCCACCACCGCTACCGACGCCGTTAACGCCGCCACCACCTCCAAGGCCGGTGACGCCCTGACTGCCAACGCTTCCGTGATGCGAGTCTCTATTCAAGGGCCGCGCCTTACCGACGGAACCAAAGTGGACAGGGTGCCAGGTTTGCGCGTGAGGAACGTGGTGGGGACGGTGTCCATCCAGCGGCATGGCGGCCCTGGGCGGCCCTGGATGGAGCAGAGCGCCAAAGATCTGGTTGCCAATGTCGTTGCTACGTTGGCGCCAGTGACGCCTGCGGCTCGTCCTGCTGGTGGTGCTCCAGGCATCACGGCCAGTACTCATGGCAGACGTGTGTGAACGCTGTCTTTCGACCCCGTCGTCCTCGGAAGAGCTGCTGTTCAGCTCCTTGGGAAGGACAATGGCACGGTCAAGGCCGTAGGGAAGACCACGATGCCGACCTCGGATCAGCGTCATGATAATGAACACCTTTCCTGTGGTGCTGAAGATGGCCGATAGAGAGGCGTTACCAGTGGAAAAACCAAGACTCATGCCGACTGTACCGTAGGCGCTGATAACCTCAAACATGAGCGCGAACATATCGGTGTCGCCGTCCATGATCCGCGTGCCTTCCGAGATGGCGAGCATGAAGAAGAAGAGAGCAATAAACCACAAATCGAAAGAGAGCTGGCGACGCAAATGCGAGCCGATGTAGGACAAATCGCTGGACGGAGAAGCCGATTCCTCCTCACCTTCAGGATTGTTGTAAATGCCCAGAGACTTCTCCTCGTACACGTTTGTGCGACGGATCGACATGGCGATGGGGAGGACACTGATGTACATCATGATCATGTACGACACCTTGACGGCCGGGTGCAGAACCGCGAGGTTGATGCAGGAAAAACCAGCTGTCCTCGTTGAGGCTGCCTCGAAGAGCCCATTGAGGACCTTGATACCGCCAGGTAAGGCGTCGACAGGCCCAGATCCCAAGTCCAGGACGACGAAGAAGACAACGTCAGCACAATTGAGCCCGATCAGAATGAAAAGGAGCCACCACGTTGCCCCAGACGGGAAGAGGAGAATGAAGCAGCGACGAGGATGATCAAGCAGAAATCGCACTTCCTCGTAGAGGCCCGAGTCGCGCGGTACGACGATGGACATGACCCAAATGATAAACCGCAACATGACGGGGAAGCCGGTGTTGCCAATGATGATGAGAAAGATCATCAACAGCAAGGGCCAGACAGCGGTATTGAACGAGTTCATGCTGTCGGGGGTCAAGGTAAGGCCCAGATCCATGAAAGCAGAGTTCGCGGTGAAGAAGGCCCACCAGACTCTGCTTTGGCCAGCCTGGTCGACAACCTGACCCCAGCGGTCCTCATGGAGGATCCACGGCAGCAAACCGACAAGTCCCAATAGAAGGAAACCGAAGAAGTAGCAGAGAATGATCTTCTGCAGCAACTTCAAGACACGGTACTCGATACCTCCCAGCTCCTCGCGTTGCTCTTCCGTCAGGTCGTGGAATTGGGAGTTGCGTCCCAGTGTCGGTTCCCAGCTGAGGTAGGGCGTCGGCTCCATCTTGTCTTTGGTAAAGGCCGACCTCATGGCTGAGAGCGATGGGCGCCTAGACATTCTCGAATTTGACCGCTGCAGTTTGGGGTCTGCCTCCTCGTCACCACGGTTCCTGGTAGGGGCCCGTGTGTTCTTCCTGAACTTGAGATGGTTGAGTTGCGGCACGAAAGAGTGGGTGAAAGTCTTGGCATCGTCGACAAAATCTTCCGTCAGCGTTTCGTATAACTTATTCCTGTCGGGCTCCTCGATGGTGATGGCTTGTGCGCGGCCATTGAGCGTCACCATGGGCGTAGGTTGAGCTGGCTCGCGGTCATCCTCCTCGGCAGAATCATCGACCCGTCTAGGCTTAGCGCCTCGTTCCATGTCTCTTGGACCGGGAATTCGAAGCACCTCGTCGTCTCGGTTGCGCTGTCGCTCAAGAATGGCGATATGCTCCTCGTCCGACCGAGGAAGCTTTATCGCATCCAAGCCAAGTCCATCGCTCTTCTTCACGGTGCCGGCGAACCTGATTTCAGGCTGTCGACGGGTATCTTCGGGCTGATCCGGATCTCGCTGATCGGGGGGCGCGCGGCTGTCGTACGTGGGCTTCTGGAACGAGCCCAGCAAGATGCCGTCGTTCGTCATGCGTGGACTACCAGAACCGTGCATGACGGTGATCTCTCGGCCAGCAACACCTCTTTCCGCCTGTGATAGAAAGTCGGTCCGCATCTGCGATTTTGACTTTGAAATCGTGCCTCTCCGCTGCTTGGCGTCCTGGACAATGGTCTGCAACTTCTTTTCGAACCAATACCTTCGTAGGGAAACCGTGTAATAGCCGATTGATATTGGGTTAGTGAGCATGGCAAGCAAAAAGATGACGGCCTGGGAAAAGGTGTTGATCAGGTTAACATCAATGGTGTTGAGGCCGCCCTGGGTACACGCCCCAGCAGCGAAGAAGAGGGCGTCGACATAGGCGATTTGACCCCTGTGGGAGGCGTAAATAAGAATTGACCCGACTATTGTGAGGCCAATAATGAGGGTATCTATTCACAGTTAGCATGGAAACAATGTTCAAGGGGAAGGGATAGGAACTTACAGTGTACTGTTTGATACTGGAAGTGGCCTTCGGTCATCAGTTTCCTGGGCCGAAAACCAATATGGTGACATATCCACGCCCATTTCTCCTGGGCTGTACTGCGAAGTCGTTCCATGGTGGGCGACAATCGCGGGAGGTGGTATTATGGTGAAAATGTGCCCCTGAGTGGTGAAGGATGTCGTCAGGCAATAAGGGATAGGGGACTGGGGGTTGGAGAAACAAGGACGGAGACGGCACCGGAATCGCCTGAAATCGACGCAGAGGCCGAAACGGCAAACGGTGATGTGCCTCTGGGAAGCTACTAATATCCTGTCCTGCCAGTATGTAGTAGAAGTAAGAGATAGAAAAAAAAAGAGAAGGTCGATCGATGTCTCGGCGTGTCAGGGTCTGCTCAAGGGTGTGGCAGGGTGGCGTGGTGACAGACGGTTGGGAGATCAACGAAAAGGATTACTGGATTAGGACAACGGCATCAGAGCATATGTCATGGAGGGGCGGATCTGGGGTATTTGAGGGAGAAGAGCAATTGAAATAAAGAATGATATAGGTAGGAGTAGGGTAGAGGTAGCAAGGGTCCAATGATAAGGTCTGGGGCGGGTCGGGAGACAGAAGGAGGAGGGAATTGAATTGGTATGAAGTAATGGTATTCACTCGTCCTATAGAGTGAATACGAGAGGCTCCAGTTCAGTCGTCGCTTTTTGGTGGCTTCGACTGAAGAGATGAAGACTAAAAGTTTCCGTTGCCGTTTCCAGTCCAGGGGGGGGGGGGGTTTGGCCGAGAAGGAAGGTGCGTGCGGGTGGCAGGAATGGAGACTTCAAGTTGTGGACAGGACTGGACCAGCAACCGAGGGCTTTTTTTTTTCTTTCCTTGTCTTATTTCCGGACCTGGGGCTGATTTTAAAGCCCTCAGAGGAGTTTGTTTTGTGTCTCGGATGGCCTCAGAGCTGGTCGAGGCGCAATCCGAATGTTGACTTGACCCGATCGTCAAAAAAGTTCGATGAGGACGAGCACACCACAGCAGAAAGCAAAGTGGTAGGCACCGTTACTTACAATGCCAAGCAAAAGCCAAGAACAAGACCCAGATGCTACACTAGATTCCAGAGAAGGCCAACAACTCGGAGCGAAGAGAGTGTCAAAGAAGGTTGCCGCCAAGCCCACAGGGGCGGGTGACGGTAGAAGAAGGGAAGCACTCCGTAAACCGGTCTTTGCAGGGTTGGTGGTGTTGAAAATCGGGTGGTCCCAGCCAAGAATCAGGGTTATTGCTGGTCGACTGATGGAAAAAGCCGATGGAGAAAAAAGTTCGAATTCTAGCCTGTCGGAGGGGGCTGGCGAGTTGCATCAAGCGGGTCCACAACGGCTCAAGGGTGCGCTAGCGCATGCATATATAACACTCTATAGTCCCGCTTGTTGAACCATGAAGTCGAGCACTGTTCCAGTTTCAGGAAGCACGTGGGGTTTGTAACGAGTCGTGAGTTGATACAGTAAATCTGATTGTCAAAGAGGGGGACGAGAAAGAGAAAGACAAGTCAGAAAGGGTACTCGTGGGATGTAAAGGATCTTGGGCTCCCGGGTCAACAAAGAACACATCCGGGGCTTTATGACGGGGAACGACGCCGGCGGGGTGCCAAATTGAAAAGAGCACAGACTGTCACTAGTGTAGGTACCGCAAAGACTCGGGCCATTGACTTTCAACTTTCCTGGAAAATTTTAGGCATAGTCTTTTAGTGTAGGTACTGTAAGCATACTGCAACACATTCACGCCCACCAGCAATTGTATGCAGGACAGTGATTTTCAATTTCCCCACCCTCCAGCGCTCTTGAAGATAAGTGGGAAAGGGCAGGACATCAGAAAAACGGAATCTACTATGCTCCGGAGAGGCAATACATATCCCCCTCTATTTTTGGCGAGTAAAACATGTATAGAATCGTGCATATGTATGTCTGATTATGTCTGATTTCCAGTCAAGTTGAAAGTTAATGGCCCGAGTCTTTGCGGTAGTGTACATTGACAAGGGCCGCATGAGCCACTATGTATGTAGCGCACACTACACATCAGTCCTTAAAAGTTTGTTAGCGCCATACACGCCCCACATCTTCTTACAAGGGGGTAACAGGGGGGGTTGCAGGGCGGGACTGGTCTATCTACGAGTTCTGATTGGTTTAAATGGCCTGATTCCAAAGTGAGAATCGGTTGATAGGAGGGATTCAACCACCCATACACAAACCCTCGCCTCCAACGAGAACTACTAGAATTACCCGGCACACCCTCTATAATCAGTATAATCATAGGGTATTAATAGGGTACTTTCAGCGGGCTGTTACATTCCCCGTCTCCCCTGCTTAAAACCCCTGTCTGTAGGTACCAAGCTAACGAACTTACCAGGGCTGATGTGTATATTCGCTGTTCGCTCCTCTTCCCCGTCCCCAACCCCGGCCAAGCAAGGGCCAAGCATCATCGAGCCATGGTGGAGATTTTACTAAGGCATCCCTCCGGGACTGGGGGTGGCTTAGGCCTCGCACAACCCGAGCCGACGGGGGGGACTTCAATAGGCAAAGACCACCATTGCCGGCAAACCTCACCACTCCACGACAGTCACCGTCAAGGTCATCCGCCGAGCCGGTCATCGTCGGGCACACAATGACATTCGAGTCGACGGTGATGAGTCAGTTCGGGTTGGCTGGCTGTGTGAAACAGTGACCAAGCTTGCCAAGTAATAAACCCAGGAGGATCCCCCAGAGACACCGGGCCATCGACTAGTCTGCGGGTGATGACTTGAAGGTCGGGTCGGGTTTAAAAAAGCGAGGTTACTTGCATTCATCAATGGCATCCAATAGCGATTCGAATCTCAATCTCTTATCAAGGAGATCAGCAAAAGGCCGAAACACTGCAGTTTTCCCTTTGCATATTGACTGAAGGCATAAGGTTGTGACGCCGCTAAACAACCTTGGGAGTTGGAAACCCTGGAAGGAGACAAGCAATCTCATCAAACGGCAACGCCGCAGCGGCAGCGGCAGCAACCGGAGTGCAGGTCGGGTTTGATAGCAATTACCTAGAATAGCATCCTTGCAAGCAACCGCGGAAAAGGCTGAGCATTGCGATGCAAGCAGTTGGGCTGTGGAAATGGAAGCGACGGAAGCTGCAGTGAGCTGACAGGGTTCGAGCGATCTTGCGGTCAGCAACTTCCACCACTTTGTTTTCACGGGCAGTGAGGTTGACAAAGGCTTTCATTGACGGCGCATTGCGCGATACTCATTCGTTGTACATAGAAGGTTCCTGGGTACAAATTCTAGACCACAGGAAAGAGTCCGGGGTTGGTGGAGATGGGACTCACTGGTCAAGCGGCGTCGACGACGACCACCTCGTCTCATCACTGTTCAGATGACACGCTCCCAATGCGCATCACACGCATCTACGATGGCTTAGTTGCCGCTACCCCTCATCCAATGTCAAGGAATTTGACTGCAGTTGAGCCTAACCTCCACAATGATCATCGACAATTTTGGAGAAAGGAAGCCTGAATGATCCAACTGTTCAGGGAAAATACATGTCTGACACAATGCTATTTGATCAGTTGACAATTGACAATGGGAGGCCAAAGATTCAAAGTCGTCTCGAGTACACAGTCAAAGGAGCCTCCGTCCTTCCTTTCTCCCTCGTCGGGTTCAGTAGATTCAATTCACCTGTACAGCCAACAAGTGGAATCCGGATGGAAGGGAAGCTACATCTGGGTACACTACAACCTCATACGCCCCTTCCATGCACACTCCGACCCGTTTCACAACCGCGGGAGGCGCAACCTGCGCACCCAGCTTTAAATCCCGAAGATCATGGTCCAATCGCCAGCCTCTGATTTCCGCCAAGCAAAACTTGATGTGGAAAGACCAGCTTGAATGAGCATCCCTGATATCTCCCGGGTTTATTGTGTAGCTAAACCCTCTAAGTACTTAAGGTTGAGAACGGTGGTGCCAAGCTTTTCGTCCATTCACGTGTAGAATACAAATGTACTATGCATACACCTTTCTTCTCAAATGACGTTCGACAGTCCCTCTACCGGTTTCGGATTTCAACTGCCGTACGGGAGCTCTGACAGGCTACCAATCGGACGGCTCGTTTATCTAAGCGATGACTTTTTTTTGAGATGCTAAGCTGCTGTGTGTGTCATGTGTGATTAGTATGCTCTGCAGACGAAGCCTTCGCTGTCACACATTTCCTCCTAGTATTTCTTACATACGATGGAGAAGCCAGGACTGTGACTCGATGGGCGGGCCACTGAATGGTCACTGAATGGTTTGTGAACTCTCCTGTACTTCTACTCACTTTCCTAGGTATCACCTAGCATAAGCAACCTGATGTTGGTTCGATCTGATTACCTACCGACAGGAGATTCTGGTCTGATCTGCCAGGGCTTTGCAGTTGCTGGAACATGGTTTTCACGAGACTATACCGTACATAAGCAGATGCATACGTAGCATTGAAGAAGAGAAAGAAAAAAAACTGAAAAGAAAGAAAGAAAGAAAGAAAGAAAGAGCAGGTTCTTCCCCCCTTCTTTACCTATGTACACTATAGCCGAGCAAAGAAAGTCTAGACGAGAAGCAAGAACATTAACATTGGTTCCGCAATAAGTACTTGCAAGTGCAACTAAAAGATCAATGAAATCTCGATCCAAAACTCGGATCAAGACCCGGATGAGAAACGATTTGCAGACGTCTGTTAACCACATATGCAGTAACTCCATGGCGGAGTATACATAAGCTTACTTAGTTCGCTTAACAGCATTTGTGGCAGTGTTTGTTTTGTATACATGTTACCCGAGTTCTCTGGTTGCCTCATTAGGTGTAAGTCAAAGCGAGTCTCTAATGGGAACACGGAGAATTTAAAGTTGGAGTTCACATGTCAGCAGGACTGACTGTTCGCGTAAACGTGCTACTGGCACTTAGGTGGGTTACCGAAGTATATTGATTAAAAGAGGGATTGAGCCATATTCGGTCATCATCGTCGGTAACTGAATAGTCTTTGAAGTGGAAGTTCAAGAAACTCAGACAATGAGGAAGTTTCGACAAAGTCCCGACAAAGACAAAATCCTAAAGAAAGGCGTCCGGCTAGTGGAAATCTTCCGCCAAGTTGCCTTTAGAGCTTCAATGTTCATTGAACACCAGCGCGTACACCATATCTCAGCGCTGGACGCTGACCAACTCCATGACCTTGGCACCCCATTTCTAACAAGAGAACCCCCTCTTCATATGGTATCCGAACCCTGCCGCACAACGGACTCAACCAGATCGGACGACCGTAGAAAAAAAAAACCATAGATTTCTTTTACCCCGGGGATTTATCATACATGTACATGGTATACACAGCGGTCGTCTGTCCCCTCTTCTCACAGATCCCGGCTTGTCTCTCATTTCGAGGTCACTGTAGCTTCCTCAACCAAAAGGGGAGGGATATCCCGTAAGTCTCAGTGAACAATCCCCTCCCTCACTGACTCAATCCAGCATCGCACATTCAGACCCAGAAAGATTTAGTTCTTCTTCTTGGACTCCTGGCCCTTCTGCTTTCCACCACCACCACCAACACCGCCCGTCAAGCCCTTACTGCTCAACACCTTCCTCATCTTCTTCCAGGCAAACACGTACTGCTCAACACTGCCCATGTCGTGCTTGGGCTGGCGCATGTACATGAGCTTGGCGCGTCTCGCGCGCTTGGCCCGCCTCTTGATGATCTCGATGCCCGCCACGTTCTTGTTGTAGATCTTGTACCACATCTCGACGCCGACCTTGCCGAGGTGGTTTCTGAGGAGGATCGCCGTGTCGATGCCCGAACGGCGGATGGCCAGGCACACGCCCGCAAAGGGTTCGCCGCCGCGACGGTGCGTCACCATGAGCACGTCGCCGACGCGGGCGGCATGGCGCGCCTTGGAAAAGAGGGCGGTGCGCGCACCGGTCGGGTCCATACGCGCGATCTGCTGCTGGGTCAACAGCGGCATCGGGTCCGAGGGAGGCTTGGTCATGAGCGGTGGCAGCTTCGAGTTGGCGATTTTGAAGGCTTTGGACTTGGTGACTACGCTCGAGGGAGGAAGGGTCGTCGGGCTCTTGGGGGGTGTGAAGACGGCGAAAGCGGTGCGAGTCTTTTTGGTGTGCTTATCGGCGATCCTGACTGTTGGAGTACAAGTATAGGTTGGTTAGTCATTGTAGGCAGAAGATCGGATGACATGTATGGTGAGTGACGTGAGGCCGTACAAAAGTTGTGATCGGGCAGGGCGCCGGTAGACTGGGTGGTGGAAGCAGCGACGGCTGTCGCATAGCCCCGGACGAGGGACTGGCATAGGCCGGCCTTGAGGCAGCCCAGAGGCCGTCGGGAGAGCGGTGCTGTCACGTTCATGGTGTGTTGTCGTGTGCGGTGTCCCGGACTCGGAGTCGGACTCTCTGGACCGCCAGAAGTGGAATTGGCGAAGCAGTGGCAGCTCTCCTCCACGGCCAAAGGTCGAATTCGCGGGACCCGGGGCGGGCAGGCTGCACAAGACGTTGGAAAATGGATCTTCGAGCAGGACCCGTACTGGCTCCCGATTGGCCTTGTGCAAGGTACACGGCCCATAAAAACGTGTAGTGACCAATCACAGACCTGATTTTTGGCTACAGGGGTGCTACTTTTTGACGGCGGGCTGTCTTGCGCTTTTCCCTTGGCGACAATCCCCTCCACGCCTCTCTTGGGTCCGCTCGCACGGTTGGGGTCGCGAATTCAACATCGAAGAACCACTTTTATTTACATCCGTCCGCCGGTTCCTGTCTCCAGTCGACTCCGGTCTCTGGCCTCCAACTCCCCCCGACTCTCCTCTTCGTCCTCCGTCCCCTCCGAGTCCGGTCGCGTCCCACTAACTCCGATCGACCGCACATCAACATGGCCGGCAGAGCTCCCCAGCATGCCCTTCGGGTAGGGTGCAGGGCAGTCCCCGAGGCTCTTTCGAAGCCCGCGCAGCAATCCAGATGCTTGTCGTCGACCGTACCTCGCCAAGGCATGTCCTCCCAACCAATCTGTCGCCATCTGTCGCTTTGTCGCTAAGAGCTCGATACGCAAATGCGCTCAAACGCGCTCGGCTTCATGGCAGTTACCACATGACTGTCTTCATCCAGGCTTGCTAACACCTCCTCCGCCTACAGCCACCTACCCCGTCGTTTCCTTCAACAAGACCTCGTCCCCCGAACTCAAGGAAGCCCTCGAGACCCTCCGTGAAAAGGTCATTCTTCCCACCTACCTGCCGCCCGAACTACGACAGAAGATCTTCAACAAGAAGTATGAGAAGGAGCTTGCGCACGATCCCGTCACCATCCAGATCGATGGCCAGCCCCAAAGGTTCAGCTACATCAACATGCTGACGGACATGCCCAACACCCCCAAGAACATCCGGGCCGCCCTCCTGAGCATGAAGAACGGCGGTGACTTTGCCAACCTTTCCGGCCTCCTCGAGGGTATGCACCGCGCGAACCGCAAACTCCCATACTGGCTCTCTGCCCAGATAGTCCGGAAAGCATGCAAGGCCGGCCATCTGCAGCTCATTCTCAACATGGTCCGCGACGTCAAGCGCACCGGCTTCACTCTCGAGCGCCACGAGACCGTCAACGAGCTCCTGTTCTGGATCCAGCGTTTCGCGTGGAAGAGCGACTACAGCGAGCCAGAGACGCGCAAGGCGCTTAGGGAGGTTCAGGAGATTCTGGACGCGCTGGAGGGCGACGAGAGACACATGAGCAAGGACCGCAAGAGGCAGCAGGCCCTTACGAGGTTCCCGTATCACCGCGACCCTCAGTTCCTCGCCGCCAGGCTAAACTTGACGGCCGAGCTCGCTGCTCGCCGCGCGGTAACCGGACAGACTTCGGAACAGCAGCTCAACAGCGCCAACGACGTCAAGAACCTGGTCAAGTATGCCGAGCAGCTGGTGAGGCTGTGGCCCGCAGACAAGGCCCTCTTGGACATGTACACGGATGAGGCCTACGTTGCCAGGGTCGATCTCCGGTACCTCATCAAGCCCCAAGTGCACCTTCGCTATGCTAGTTTCACTCTCCAGGCCTTGAAGAATGCGGCCAAGATTGTCGGACAGCTCGGCCATGGCCCGCTGGCGGCGCAGTTGATCAACAGGGCCACTGCTGTCGAGGCTGAGAGCCAGTTGGCCTATGCCAAGGTTGACGACGGCATGGCCGGCCAGAAGATTTACGAGATGGTTGTGGGTGGAAAGAAATAAACGCTTGTAGGCAATGATTAACAGAACGAGCTGTTTCCCCATGTTTCTCTCGTCATACTCTCGCGAGGTATGGTACGTATAGGCGACTAGCTTTGTATATGTAGGATGTATGACGGACTGTAAGATACCATGAGTTGACAAATGGCACAAAAAGTAGACAAGAGAACCCTGAAACTTTTTTTGTTTCATGAACGATACCCAACTACCTGCTATGTACAATAAACCGTCTGTCGCTTTTTTCCTGTTTGTTTGTTTGTTTATTTGTTTATGTTCCCTCTTTCTATCCCGACTATGGCAGAACGATGTACTTTTGCAAGTGCTCGGGGATCGCGCCCAAAAGGTTCTTCTGCTCCAACCACTTCCTCGAGAACAACCGGTCCGCATACCTGTAGGCACCATCGCACAGCATCGTCACAACCGTCGATCCCTTTCCGAGCTTCTCCGCAACCTCCTTAGCCGCAACAACGTTGAGGGTCGAGCTGGCGCCAAGGTACAGACCCTCCTCGTCCAGACACCTGTACACCATCTCAATGGTCTTCTCGTCGCTAATGGTCATGGATCCATCCACCAAGTCCACATCCTGCTTCAGGTTGTCGGTGATACGGCCCTGGCCAATGCCCTCGGTGATGCTCGACCCGCTGCGCTCAATCAGCTTGCCGCCCGAGCTGAAGTACGAGTGCAACACACTTCCGGGAGGATCAGCCAAGAAAGCCTTGACCCTGCCGCCCGAAATCTCCTTTAGATACCTCGTCGTACCCGCAAACGTTCCACCGGTGCCCGTCGCGCAAGTGAAGGCATCGACCTTGCCTCCCGTCTGCGCCCAGATCTCGGGGCCGGTCGTCTCGATGTGCGCCCTCCGGTTGGCAATGTTGTCGAACTGGTTCGTCCACACGGCATTGTCCAAGCGCTCGGCGTGCCGGCGCGCCTGGTGGTTGTAGTTCTCCGGGTTCTCGAACGCGACGGCGGGCACAGGGTACACCTCGGCGCCCAGCAGGCGGAGCAGGTCGATCTTGCCCTGCGACTGCGTGTTGGGCATGTAGATGACGAGCTTGTAGCCCTTGGAGCGGCACACGTGCGCCAGGCCGATACCGGTGTTGCCGGCGGTTCCCTCAACGACAGTGCCGCCTGGCCGTAGCAGGCCGCGCTCCTCGGCGTCCTTGACGACGTACAGGGCCGCGCGGTCTTTGACGGAACCGCCGGGGTTCATGAACTCGGCTTTGCCGAGGATCTCGCAGCCGGTTTCTTCAGAGAGGCGGTTGAGGCGGATGAGCGGGGTGTTGCCGATAGCTAAAGAGGTAAAGAGGTGAGTGTTGGTGGCATGTTCTTTTCTTGAGAGGAATTGGTGTTAGAGAATGCGATTCATAAGGGAAGCATACCTCCGGTCAAGCCCTTGGCAATACCCTGCGCCTTGGAGACGTTAAGGAGGTATTGGGAGGGCTCTTGGGGCGCGACCGCGGCCATCCTCCGGAGAGAGGTGGTCGCAAAGGTACGGACGCCGTGACGGAACATGGGGAATCGTATATGCAGGCAGGCAGGCAGGCAGGCAGGGAGAGGAACGAGTGCGCGTGCGCTACAGGGTAAAGCAAGATATGCAGACAATGGTCACGCAAAGAACAAAAGAAAGAGAGAGAGAGAGGAAGCCAAATAACAACAACTCCTTTCAACCAGAAAAGAACGACTAACGACTCGTAAGTTTCCAGTTACGGAAGCGTGGGGGGGCCGATGGAAGTACCGAATGACGGAATCCGGGTAGTGGGGCCATCCTCAGCTCTTAGTCTCGAAACCGGGCGGCCGGGCGGCGATTATCGGACCTCGAGATTCCCGCTGTCACTGACCTCCTCGCATTGTGATCTAGGTACACTACTTACATACTTGGGAAGAACACAGTGAACAGCCCAACAGCAGCTGAGCGAGCGGTCAACGTACCAGCAACAGGGAAAACTCCCGTCGGGGTAACTGCACCAAAAAAAGGAACATGAACACAAAGCATGAACCGTGGGGTTCGGATTTCAGCAACATGTTGATTGGTCGCCCTGATGATCAGACAGGTGATGCCAAAAAAGTTATAGCGGGGAAGGGAACAATCCCAGAGCATGTAAGTCGGTAGGCGAGGTAGGTACCGCACACTATACTTAGAGGGAGGTCGGTACTCTACACTAGTGGAAATTTGGAGATGGTTCAATCTTCAACCAAACAACATCAACACATCTCTGCAAGGGGAAATTTATCACCACGCGTCGTCATTCAAATCAGCAATACACGAGTTTCCACAACGGGCGCATCTATATCTCTATACATGCCGAATATATACGATCCTGTAACTTCTGTTCGGCGTTTCAGCAACTCGGAATCAACATCCGATACCATCAATATTTTTATTAACGTCTTCCCACGATGAAGTGGTAAAACGCGACGCATCGTTAGACAACCAGTTACTCTGCGTTCTCGTAAAGTGGGCGACATTGACGGCAAAAATGACCACCATAGATCTCAATCGCGATCCCAATCACAAACACCCCGACTTGCCCGTCCCGAACGAGATCACCGAAGAAAACTGGAGCGATTCCTCAGACGATAGCGATGTCGAAAGTCCCAGCATCGGCGAGGCCGCACAGCAGCCGCAGCAGGTGGAATGGCTTGCCACGTCGCGCGCGAAGCGGTCCACGGCCGGCAACCGTATGAAGTCGATGCTCGCCAACGAAGAGCCCGCCGCCGAAGACTCGGATCTCGAACTCCTCTTTGCCGAAGACGACGACGACGCTGGCTTTACCGACGAGGAAAAGGATGACGCGTCCGATGTCCAGATGGACTCGTCCTCAGACGACGAAGACGACAAGGACGGTGCTGCCGCCGACGATCTCGAGGGTGAAAAGGAGCTGGAGCGCCAAGCAAGGGAAAAGAGGAACGCGCAACGGAAGAGGAAAGCTCAGGAGGCTATCCCCATGAAGTTCAGGAAAAAGGTTCGCATCGAGCAGCCACCGTCAGCCACGGGAGAGAGTGCCACCGGAAGTCCCGCGCCGTCGACGACAGGCACTCCTGCTGCCTCCTCTGTCCGGCAAGGACCGACACCACGCCCGCCTAGACCCAAGAAAAAGTCGGAAAGGACGAGTTGGTTGCCGACTCCGGCCGATATGCCCACGCGAGCGTCCGAGCGCAGGACGACCAAGATGAGCAAGGAACAGCTTCATCAGAAGATGATCGACGACGAGATTCGCCGGAAGAAGCTGATGGAAAAGATGGAGAAAAACGCAAAGAGGTTAGAGGCCTTGAAGAAGCCACCAATGACACAGGCGGAGCGGTTGGCTGAGGCAGCTCTGGTGGAAAAGAGAAACGAGAAGAGCTTGAACAGATGGGAGGAGGCGGAGAAGGTGAGGGAAGAAGAACGCTTGAGAAAGATCGCGGCCTTAAACAATCGCAAGCTGGACGGTCCGGTAGTCACTTTTTGGAGTGGTATCCAGACGTTGGAGGAAGGACAACAGAAACACGTTGGCAAGATGGTATCCATGGAGGAGAAGCCGGTCAGGAAGAAGAGGCAATCTGTCAGCGCTACTCTTGCTGCTCAGGAGGCGGCTGAGAAAGAGAAAGCAAAGGCTGAGGAAGCCTCCAAGCAAACACCATTGACTGAGAAGGGAGATGACAAGTCGGCCGAGGCGGCAACCAAACCGGACGATAAGGTGGAGGCACAAGCGGAAAAAGCAGTTCCATCAATAGCATTGCCCGAACAGCCACAAAAACCAATATCGACTCCAGACGTTGTTATGAAGGATGCGCCCGAACCACCACAACCTCCACAACCATCTATACTCGCACCTATTCGAGGACCTATGGCCCCGCCGCCTATCCCTTCTCCGCCGCCGCTCGAGACTAAGCCTGCGCCTTCATCGGGTGTTCTAGCTGCCCCCGTCCTGGCCCCACCAGGAGGAGTAGCACCCCCTATGCTCGATGTCCAGATGCCCGGGCTAGCATTTCCATTTAGTAACGGGATGTCAAACGTTCTTGCGCCCCCTAACACTACTTCGCCTCTTTCAATGCCTCCGTCTTCCGGGAGTTTGAGCACCCTTACGCCTGCGCCAGCTCCAGCTCCCACTCCAGCTTTGCTTTCTGCGCCGGTGACGTCGGTCCCTACTACCACTCTCAGCTTTGCGCCCACACACATCCCAGCACCCGCAACCGCACCTGCTCCTGCTGTTGATAGGCCTCCTCGTGATCTGCCTTCACCAGCTACTACAGTATTAACAACTACTATTCAGACTAAGCAGGCACCGACGCCTCCTTCTTCGCAGTCTGCCACTGTCAGCTCCGAGAAACTAGACAAAGAGGAGAAATCAGCCGTACCACGAAAGGACGACAAAGCTGAACAGGGTGACAGGGGCGAAGAAAGTAGGAAAGAAAATAAATCTGACATTGCGAATACGGGACCGAATCGGCCCCAGGAAGGGTCAACAGTGCCCACTGATCAACCCGCCGCTGAAGGGGGGGAAGAAGGGAAAACGGTCAACAAAGTTACCCGTAGTTGCATCATTCTCCAGAATTTTGATGAAGCCGCCATCAAGGACAAGCAAGTCCAGACGCAGATTATCTTTGGGAGGAGGATGGAGAAACTTGCCAGTGAGTTGGGCCCCATTTGCTCATCAGCATTCTTATTTCGTTTAGTCACTAACAATCACCAAAGAACCCGCCCACCCTCCACTCTGCGTTGTAACTGGCCATCCAGCCCGTTACCGGGACCCCAAGACTGGTCTCCCCTATTACAACGCCTATGCCTATCGCGAGATCCAGCGCGTGCACAGGGGTGATTACAAGTTCAGTGCGCTGTTAGGAGCATACGTAGGCAGCGGGACGTACGCGGCCAAGGGCGTGCCAGAAAGGTTCTTGAACCCTAACGGGAAGAGGTCGACACCAAAAGAAGATCCAGCAGTTAAACTAGCCAAGCTGAAAGAGGCTCAAGAAGCGGAAAAAAGAAAAGAGAAGAACAAAGAGGCTTTGGAAATGGAAAAGACCAAGGAGATTGAGGCTGGGGATAAAAACCTGGATAACGTCCAAGCCACTGAGCTGCCGCCCCTGAGGCAACCGAAGCTACCGCAGCTGCCACGAAGAGCAAGTGGCACGGAGGTGACTAGTGCTATCAAGGCGAGAAGCAAGAGCAAGGAGACGACGAGGCCGTCTGAGCCGAAACGGAAGACGTCGACGTCTTCGTTGCCAGCGACGATGACAGGGCCGGTGGTTCAGGCTAAGCTGGAGCCGATTGAGGGTGTTGCTCTTCCACTTAAAGCTACTAGCGCTCCTGCACTTACACCTACTCCTAAGCCAGTGGCAGCGGCAGCGACGACGACAGCAAACCCATCATTATTACCACTATCAACGCCAACGCCGCCACTACAAACTCAAGCGCAGTTCAAGCTAGTGGATGATGATGTGAAGACACAGACACAACAGCTACCAGTGAAATCGACTTCTTCATCAAATTCACAGCCAACACCCCAGGCATCACAACCACAACCACAACCACAAGGCCAGCAGTCTTTGACGGTTCCTGCTCCTGCTCCAAATCAAAATACCGCTGCGGCGCCACCCTCTTCAGCAGCAGTAGAAGCCCCAACTCAACCACCACCAGCCGATGACGACCCAGTCAAGTCAGTCAACTCAACTCAGCCGTCACAGCCTCCTCCTCCTCCTCCTGCTCAAGAAGCAGCTCAAACACCCGTAGCAGAGACTCGCTTCCTACCCGCTCCTGTGCCGGACATGTCATAGCGGGGACATGCCGCATTGTACAGGGGGACGCCTGGAAGGAAGGAAAGGAGTTGGTTAGATATCGTGCTGAATTGATCACGATGAATTGATCACGATGAGTTGATCTCGATGAGTTGATCTCAATGAGTTGAGATATGTAGATATAGTTGTCTAGTATGGGAAGTATGGGAAGTGGTGTACTACTAGTGTACTACTATCGTTGTCGCGATTGTTGCTTGTTGTTCAAAACATGGATGGATGGACAACCAAAAAGTAAAATGTAGGAGTAAGAGTAAGAGTAAGAGTAAGAGTAAGGGGTATGATGAGTATCGATCGACAGATAGATAAATAGATGGGAGTAAAGGTGAAAAGAAGTACGTCAAGTAAACACGGAAGAGAGACAGAGAGAGAGAAAGGGATGAGCACAGAGAGAGAGAAAGCGATGAGCAACCTACCTACACTAAGAAAGACACGGACAGACGGGAAGGGAGGGAGGGAGGAAGACTCAGAGTACCTACCTCACTACGCTACTGTACATGTGCATGTTCTTGTTGATTATGCTCTTTGTTGTAATGAGATGAGAATACCCAAGTCTAAATAGTAAATAGTAAAAACAAGGAATTAAATGACATCACCTCATACGCAAAATCACCCACTTTGTCACGACATTGGTTGTATGTGAAAATTTGCTTGCCTCCATCCATCATGAATCAATGCTGACTTGACTGACTGACTGTACATCGATCGATTGCTACGTTGCATTCAGTTCTGTGTTCATATCCCCCCCGCGTATTTAACGCAAACTTTGACTGGTCAAGGCTGTATGTTGCTCATCACAATGGGATTTATATGTATGTTGAGAATCACATGCAAAATCCAGTGATTTTTTCGGTAATGGCACACTTCACAATACGCCAAGCCATGTGTGAAATGGAGTTGAAAGAAAAAAAGAAAAAAAAAAGAGAAGAAAAAAAAGAACCTCGAAATGAAAATCGATATTCCAAAAGCAAATCGCATTCTCTTCATGAATCTCCCATGTGGAAGGGGTCAAGTTTCCGGAAGGAACAAAGCGTTATTAAGAAATTCTTGAATCCAATATGATGGTAATAGTAATATGTGCGAGCACTAACGGACAGAGCCTTGGTCAGATAAACGAATGAACACCAGAAAGTCTTCCGCGCGCAGACCTCGGTATGATGCCGGCGCGGTTTCTTGATACGTTCAGTCCTTTTCCTGACCCGAGTTGTTGGAGAGAAAGGCGGCTCCTCTCTCTGATCCTAGGGAATCAAGCACAACCACAACCATAAGCCAACCTAGGTCAACCCAGTTGAGTCTCCCTCTCCCATCCCTCACATCTCCAGTCTTCTTCCTCGCCCCTTGAACCAAAAGGAAACGGCCTGGCCAGGTACGCTCGGCGATACCTCTCCTTTGTGCGATGGCGCCAGGTGAAATCGTTTTCCCCACAATGCTCACAACTTCCCCCTCCCTCCTTTCCCTCCCAACTCCTCAGCTCCGTCCGTTTGGGTATCTCGGTATGCAGGGCTGTCGGCTCGTCACTGCTTTGATTGCACTCTAGACAATGGGTAATATCGAGGCGCCCTATGCCGTTTAGATGTCGATCTGTGAATGCCTCCCTTTGCCATCCCCCTTCATTTCATGGTCGCTTCCGGATTGTAACAAAAAAACGGGGCCGGCGGGGCCAAAAAACATTTCTCACTGCAGGAGTATCCCGGTCTCACAGAATCAAGCACTTCTTGTCCCTTTTACTTGTCTTTTTCTGAGGCGGCTCCAGTGCCGCAACGATGGCCTAAAAAAGTGGGTGTCAGCTTCGGGCAACTTCACCACTCACCGACAATAGCCGTCCTGGGAATGGCCTACCTCATCAAACACGTTCTTGAGACCTTCCTGTGTCAGCGCACTGCACTCGACGTATTTGACGGCGTCAAGATCCTGGGCAAGCTTCTCTCCCTGCTTGAACTCTATCATTGACTGCTTGCGCTGGGCAAGCTTGTCCCTCAGTTCCTTGTCGGAGCGCAAATCCTTCTGCGTTCCGACAATGAGGAAGGGCACGCCGGGGCAGTGATGGTTGACTTCGGGGGCCCATTTCTGGGACACGTTTTCGAACGAGGCGGGCGATGCAACGCTGAAGCAGATGAGGAAGACGTCGGTCTGGGGGTATGATAGCGGACGTAAACGGTCGTAATCTTCTTGTCCTGCTGTATCGAACAGGCCGAGCGTATAGGGCTCATCACCGATCCTGAAGAGGGGGGTGGCGCATATCAGCTAAAGTCCAGATGATAAAGAATAGAAACGGGTGGGCGTTGGCTTGTGCTGCATGGGGTGCCTGCGCGCATTGATGGGATCGGGTAATTGGAAGAATGGGCAACGTACATGACGGTGACGGCATAGTTGTCGAAAACTGTCGGCACATATTCCGAGGGGAACTTATTCGTTGTATAGCTGATGAGGAGACATGTCTTTCCAACGGCACCGTCACCGACGACTACGCACCTGCGGATAATGGTTAGCCTTGTGTTGCTTTGTCTCGCACAAAGCGATTGCGGACCGGGAAATGGGACATGCATCCCAAAGGTGCGTGTAAGTGAAGTCAGGCAGAGAGCGGAGCGGTCTAGGCCGTCACCACAGCAGCGACAGTCGGGCGCCTGTAGCACTCTCTCTATAAGGGGTGGTTTGTTTTGGCATACTTGATAGTTCCCGTCACCATGTTGACTGATGGCGCCCCAGACGGGTTGCAGGACGAGTCGCGGGCTTGATGCTAGGCTAAGAGCTCGACGACGGAGGTGAGAGAGGATGGAAGGAGCGATGCAGCGAAGCACTCTCCTTATCCCGCGCTGTGATCAACGGTGAATCGGTGTGGGCGACGGCGGAGTGGAGTCGAAGGGATAAGACGAAGCAGGACGACTGGGATGGATGGCGGATGTTGATGTTGGCGGCCGGGCACCTTTGGCGGTAGGGGACCCGGTGGTGGCAGTAGTAGTAGTAGTAGTAGTTGTAGCAGTAGTCCTAAGAATGGGTGGAACGGACAGAGTGGTCGATGACGGAGGGAGGGTTTGCTGCTTGGGGGAAGAGAGCTGGAGTTGGATGGCGGGACTAGGTAGGTGTGGAAATCGCAAGGTTGTAGAGGTAGCACAGGAGAGAGAGTGGGCGCGAAGAGGTCGTAAAGAGAGAGAAACCTGGAAGGGGTGCAAAATGTCAAGGCACCTAGGTAGCTTGCCAGTAGAAACCTCTAGGTTGGTTGGTAGTGTAAGACTGAAGCTCACTGTAGGCGGCGGACGGACGAGTTGCGGTGGATAGGTAGGTAGAGAGCGGAGGGAGTGATGGAGTGGACGGGATGGAATGGGTAGGTAGGTAGGTAGGTCGGTAGGTCAGGTAGAGTAGGTAAAATGGCAGGTGGATGGAGGACGGTGGCCTGCCCGGGTGGACGGTGGAGGACCTATGAATGCCCGGCTGCCCTGGCCTTGCAATGGATTGGACGGATTGGATGGGGGGGAATGGGGGGATGGGGATCCGACCGCCAGTGACAGAACAGCGATCAGTTGGTCTACACTATTGTATGTATTGAGGCGTAACGTAATGCCAGATAGAAGTCCAGACAACGATGACAGGGCGTGATTGATGCACAGCAGCACTCTGCACTCCAATGTGCTAGGTAACGGGAAGTAGGGCAGAGGGTTCCGTTATGTATCAGCAAAACAAGCGACCACTGCCACCTTCGGACGAGTGTAATTGGATGTTGAAATGACTCGGGACTTTTTTGCCCAGCAAAAGCAAATAAAACTGCAAGAAACGAGGAAATAAATATGGGATTCGGCAATTTGCTACCAGGGCTCCGTGGTGGTCGGTCCAGGTGGTGGTAGTGGTTGTGGGCTTAGGTTGATGTTGTCGTGGGTTTGGCAAGTTTGTTGCGCATCAAACCTAATCGATCAGCCTCATCCAAAGTCGGAAAAAAAGACGGAGGAAAAAAGTGACAGAAGAGAACGCCGGCTTGGGGGCCTTCGAGAAGTGCGAGTGCGTACCTTCGACAGCGGGCAGGAGGGATGGAAGCTCGAACCTGGCAGGTTGCAGGTGCGCGCGGGAAGGGCAGCGCACTCGTCCCGTCGGCAGGAGAGACAAAAAAAAAGGACCAGTCGGAGGGACGAAGTGCCTTTGCGTTTTGGTATTGGAGTTGGTTTCGTTTACGTTCAGGTACGGCAGTATGAACGCCCAACTATTATTTTTCCCCACCTAACACCTAGGAGCTCAGTTATTCGCACCCCGCACCTTCCGTTTACACGCCCAGTACTTACACTTGCACTTACATCCTACAACCTTATGCTCGTACGTCGTATTCAACTTTCTATTACCATATATTATTAATACTCTTATATTGCAACTACGCTATACTTATAATAAAATAAACCAGAATAATATGAATACACCTAACTAGAACTTCCTATACGAGGATTTTATTTATAATGATACTCTATATAAAGCGCCGCTTATTGAGTATAAATCCGATTTAAGTAATAATAAGGTTACTAATTTCTTTATTAAATAAGTCCGTATTTGCGAATTCGATGATACTATAACTATTCTTTAGCAATATCGTAGGGATGTTCTTAATCGCTATATAATCGTAGGTACTTCTCTCGCAATTAGTTGAAATTTTATTTAATTAAAATTAATTTTATTCGAAGGAATTATATTACCTTTAAATTAGGAAAGTAATCTTTACCAATAGCGTTAAATTACTTATTTAATTTTATTTTAATAATACAAATTGCGCTTCTACTATTATATATTACCTCTTTATAATCGGGGAGTAGAATATAGAACCCTATAGTAAATATAATAATTCGTACAATTTTAGCCCTACTAATATTTACTTCGTCCCCCGTAGAAACTTTTTGAAGTGAGTTTATACTAATTGCATATATTAAAATTGTAGTAAGGACTACACATACTGTAAAGGTACGTTAGAGAATAATTTGAGAACGAGTAATAGTAATATATTAATTATATAATAGTAAAAGAGGAATAGGATAAGGCGGAAATGAGAAAGAAGATAGGCGAGTGGTAGGGTTTGATAGATAGTTAGGTAAAGGAAGCGCTTAACGTTAAGTTAGTTAGAGTTTCAAAGGTAGTTAATATAGAGTTGGAGTCTCGCTAGTAGTTAAATTAGTATAATTTTATTAATTCAGGTATAGGGTTTATAATTCTCTATTAATATACTTTGTATTACATTATTAAATTTTATTTTTATATTATTTTATATAAAGTTATAAATGTAAAAGAATTTAAAATCTTTTATATGATAATCTATTCTTAATATTTTTTTTTAAAAAAAAAAACTTATATAATAATATTTATGGAGTTCAGTCTTAAATATTTATAAAATTGAATTTTCTAATAATATTAATAATTTGATAAATCTTACTAAATTTCTAAAAAAAGTATACTAAGAATTATTTATATAACTATTTTTATATATAATATTATTACGTTTATTAAAAATAATATTTCTATATATTTTCTATTACACTCTAACTTTCCTTATTATTATAAAATAAACAATTGAATTTCTAATATTATTTTAAACAAAATATTTAAAATAAAAATTTTAATTTTAATTTTATATGTTAAATATTATTATAATTTTTTAATTATATATTAGATTTTATTTCTTAATATATTTTAAATTATATATATTTTATAAATAAATTAATATAAGGGTTAGTTTTATTAATAATAGTAAGTAAAATAAATTAAAGAAAAATATTATAAAAAGAAGAAAAGCTTCTAGCTAGCTGCTTATATATAGTACATATATTATATAATTGAATTAAAATATATATTATAAAGAAGTTTAAATATAATAGGTTAAATATACAAATTATAAGAAATATAATATAATAAGGAAGTTTTTAATCGTTTAATTAATTTAAACTATTATTATAAATTTAAACTAGAGTTTATAATATATTTAGAACCTTAGGAAATTCCCTATTATATATATATATAAAAAGTTACTTACCCCCTTTTTATATCTATATTTTTATTATATAAAAAAAGGTAACAAAGTATTCTTTATCTCTCCTTAACCTTCTATTTTTATATTAAAAAAAAGGTCCTTCTTATTTCCAAACAGTTCTCATTTTGCAATTTCAAGACTTATTTTGCAATTTTAAGATTCAATTCTATTTATTTATTATAATGCCGAAAGTAGTATAGAATCTCAACGACCATCTCCCGTAGATTAAGGAGATATACGAGAAGAATACTCTAGTATCAGCAATCTTATACAAACTCCTCCGAAATTATAGTATTAATACTACTTGTAATACAATTAATAGATTTCTTTAACGAAACGATATTGTACGTTAATAAGAGCGGACTTTATATAATAATAAGCTAAATTATAGAGTAAGAGAATTCTTCTTTCAATTATACTTAAATAATAAAGACCTTCTTACTTAACTACAGTAAGAAGGGTTTACTATTATATAAAAAGGCTTGGAAGATATTTGATATAGATTTAGTATTTATAAAGGTTAAATCCGGATACCCTTAAGGATTAGTTAGCTGAATTTAAATATATTTTTAAATTATTAAACAATAATAAAAGCGAAGCTCCTATGCGGGAAATAAGTAGATAGTAAATTTATTATTATATTTATTAGCAATTTGAAATTTATATACTATAGTAAAAACTATTTGAAATTTCTTGAAAGTTCTATCCTGAATAGATTAAAGAGCATATAAATCAAATATAGAAATAATATAAAAGATAGATAATATTTAGGCCGAACTATATATAGTATATTAATAATTATTATAAATTATAGAACTTCGGGATTGAAATCTATAAAGGTATTAATACTTATTTAAAATTTATATTATAAATATACGTAGGAGTCTCTACGTTAATATAATAATTTTTTTTAAAATAGTAGATAGAGGTTATTAAACAAATATATAAAAATTATTTATAATTATATAATTAAATTTAGGAAAGGAGGCGATCCTCTTCGTTGGATATTATTAGTAGCTCTTATAAGGATTATAGGATATTTAACGCCTTAAATTTTAGAAGATCGCCCGGGATTATATTAAAATTATTGAGCGCTACGAGAATAAAAATAAAACAATTCTCTATATTGTAGGTTAAGGATGAAACGCGTTACTTATATACGAAAATAATTTTGAATTGCCCTTTAATTATTATTAATCCTCCGGTAGAAGTATTAATAATTAACTAATTAAAAATTGGTAAAAGTAACTTTACAATGGTCAGATAGGAAAGTAAATAGTAAATTCATATTAATTATTTATAATTAAATTTAATTTAATACAATTTAAAACTATTTTGAAAAATTATATATATAGGGTAATTTTATTAAGGGAAACATCCCTAATTAGATTACCTTATTATATATCTTTATATTAGATATTCGAATAAGTATTTATAAATTTGTAAAGTATTAGAACGCTTATACTATTCGCGCTTAGAGTAGAAGATATTATATATATATAAGAAAGTTATATCTCCTCTACTATAGCCCTAATTTAGAGGAGGTAATAGACTATATATATAAAGTTAATTAGGATTATTAGTATATTTTTAAAATAATAGTCGATTTCAATCCGTTCGACTTTAATAAATATTTACCTGTAAATATATACTATAAGTGCATAGAGATTATATAAAGTTTCTAGAAGAGAATAATAAACCCTCCTTATTACTTATATTTCGAAGAATATTTTTACGTTAAAAATAAATTTTGGGAGGATTAGAATAATAGGAAGAATATAATACTAAAATTAATTTCTTATATAATACGAGGTTTATTCTATTTAAAGAAAAGGTTAGAAGCTGAGGGTATTAATTTCCGTTAGATTATATAGTTAGCCCCGGACGAAGATAGTAATATAGATATAGACTTAGGAGAATATAAGGGAAAGGAAGATAATTAAATATATTAAAATATTATGTATATTAGTAGGATATATATATAAATATAGTATAAAATAATTCTATTTTACCTAATTAAACTAATTTATAACTCTATAAACCTTTTTGTAAATAATCCAATATAATTTTTAAAAGGGATATATAATTCTAAATTATAAATTCCTTTTCTTTATCTTCTATCCCTAATATCTTAAATTATATTCTTTCTATAATATTAAGACTAGAGAATTATAAATTACCCTATTAGTAGATTTATTTAGGCTTAAATTATTTTAATTATTACTCTCTTTTCTTTATTAGGAAAAATATCTACTTAGATTGTAAAATAACCTTTACGCGGGTAGAATTATTCGAAGATAATTCTTTTTACACAATAATATTAACTACGGATTCTAATATTTCTTCCTCTTATTTATAAATTATATTTATTATATAATTAGTCTAACCCTCCTTATAATATTCTACTTTATACTAAATTCTATTTACCTATTCTTATAGTATACTCCCCATATTGGGCACTTCCGGTTTATAAGGCCTACCCCCTCCTCTCTCCCGGTTTTTACTTTCTATTATTAAAGTAATTGTAGAGATAAGAGAGTATAATATTAATATAATAAGAAGAAGAAATATAATCGAATCTATCGATATAAAATAATATATTATTTATTATATTAAAGTGAATAATAGTACTATTATAATTAAGGAGCCTATTATTATTAAATGTATTTAGTTTATAATTAAAAAAGAGTTCTCAAAATACAATTATACCGATACTCTATAAAATTTTATCCGCTACTTTATTAAGAAATACAAATTTAATAAATTTAACGATACTAAGAAGATTTGGGAAGAGATTAATAATTTTAAAATTATAAATATAACGGATTTTATCAATTAAAATAAATATTATAATTCGTATTAATTTCTTTAACCCTAATAGAAGGTTATTACTTTATAATATTATATAAAAGATTCTAAAGAACTTTAATAAGAAGTATATTAAGAGTAATTATAGTAAATTATATTTTATTTATTTAATTTGAATAAAATTTAATAAAATAACTTCCAACGACGGTATTTAAAATTTAATAATTATATAGTATAAGAAACGTATTTATAATATTTAGTCTTAACTAGTTTTAATAAGGAAGTATTCGATAATAGTATTTTCTATTATAAGGTTATCTTTCGAAAATAATTCTTATTCTACTTTAAATAAAGATCCGTTCGTATTGGAGAACGAAAACTATATTGCCCACCCGGCCTGGAAACTACGCGAAATAAGCGTTATTAAAATAGAGCCTAGTAAAGAGCCCCCAGTAATTATTGTTTCTTATAGGGTTATTGCTATTAATATAGTAAATACTAGAGCTTTACAACCGAATCTTATTATTTATAAGATAGGTATTATTAAAGTAGAGTCTATTAAAAATCCGTAGCTAATTCTTATTATTCGTAAGATAAGCGTTATTAAAGTAGAACCTACTAAAGTACTACCCTTTATTATAACCGCTCGTATACTAACTAATACTAATACTAATATGGATAATTTTAAAGAGGAGAACCTATTTACGAAAGAATATAATCCTTTTATCAAGGAGTAGGCTAGAGTATAGGAAGGCGAAGTATTTATAGATAAGGATAAGTAAGTATTATCCGAGTATGTGTTTAATATTATAAATAATGTATATATATTGGGAGTAGTACCTTCTGTAGAGAATTAAGCTATATTGTAGTAGATAAAGTTAAATTATATTATATTTCGTCTTCGCCCGAGTAGGAAGGCGAAGAGGAAAGTAAAGGAGCTTACTATAATTGGAGTATTAATACGGAGTACTAAAAGATCGTAAATACAATATATAGAACTATTATTACAAACTAATAAGCAAAAGGACACGGGCCAACCGGACTGCCGGTACTTAATAGGTACGTAAAGGCTAGGTAGTATAACTATAGGCAGGGAATAAGGCTTACGGTAGGACCAGGCTTATAAGCCAGGTAAGGCTTATAAAAGTAAGCTAGGCTCATAAATGAGCCCGGCTTATAGTAATAAGCCGAACTTATAAATGAGCCTAGCTTATAGGAATAAGCCAATACTATTACTATAAACCTACCTATAGAGGCGGTAGGCCGCCTATAAGTACAATAGATATAAAAGGACGACTAGAGAATTTAAATTATTAAATAGTTCGATAGTAGTTAATATAACTTAATTATTATTATTAAGACTAGTATTACGAGTATACTTATTATAAACCCTTTGGTTTTACCGAACGACTCTAATAATTCTTACCTTTAATTATCTTATTTAAGTAAATTAAACTACCGTTCGTCATACATTAACTATTCCCTTTAGCCTATCTCGGATAGTAACTAAAAGTACTTCTTCGCTTTACTATATCTATTATTAAAAATAATAATAATTTTACCTACTAGGGTAACCCTACAAACCTCGCCCTTATATACTAATAGCTCGAAATTATATAGGATTATATCCGCTAGTTCGAAGCCTAACTCGAGGCTAGATCCGGTACCCCCGAAGCGAAAATAGGAAAGAATACTCCGTTTATTAACCGTCCTAAATTTAAATTAACTATACCTAAGGAGTATAATAAATAGTAATTTACCCTTACGGGATTCCTAATTTAAATATAAATCTATTTCTACTTCTATAGAGATCGGTTCGGCTCTAAATTCGACAAAGTAGCCTATACGGGGACTAAACTAATAGATAGGGCCTTTACCTAGTACGAACTTATCTTTAAAGATTTCTATAAGAATAGAAATAACGCTTCGGACTTTAATAAAAAGATTTTAAATAGTTATAACGAATTTACTAAAGCCCTCACTCAAATCTTTAGAAAAAAGGATAAGACTCGTCGGGCTTAAGAACATTTAATTTAGCTTCGATAAACTAAATTTACTTTAACCTATATTATATTCTTTAAGTAGGATATTCTTTATAATAATATTGATAATAATAGGCTAATACAATTATTCTATAATAGCCTTAAAGAAAGAATTAAGGACGAGCTTTATAAGGAAGACCGTCCCGAAACTATTAATATATATATTAATATAACTATCCACATCGACGATCGGCTATTCTAATAGGAGTAGGAAAAGAAAGGAAGAGCAATTCCCTTCATTCCTTCTAAAATTTACTATACTAATACTAAAAAGAAAAGGATTTAAGAAACCTACTTTTTTAGAACTACTTATTTAAAACCTATAGAAATCGATGCAATTTAAACTAATTAAGGCAAATAAAACCTTTCGAAGGTTAAATATTTTAATTATAATAAAATGGAATATATAAAGAAAGACTACTGTACGCCTAAGTAATTAAACTAAAGAAAAACGGAAACCGCTATAATAGAAAGGGTTAAGGTAATTGAAATTACTAGTGCCGAATATAATTAAAATAATTTAGAAAACGCTATAAATAGAGTTATAGACTTCGATTAGGAAGCCTAGTAGGAGGCCGATAATAAATATAGATAGGAAGGACCTAATAAGGAAAATCCTAAGGAGGAGGTATAAAATAATAATATATTTTAAATATAGATATATTAAACCCTAATATAGGAAGAAATTAATAACCTCCCTAGTACCGACCGAACTCTCTTTATAGCCGTATATATAATAAATACTATTCTACCGCTAATTTCGCCCTTAGCGTTTATACCCGAGGGATCTAATAATTGTAAATTCGTTAATTTATACTAATATAACTATTTTAATTAGGCTGTTAGAAAATATTAGATAGAACTATAATAGTTCTACCTAAATAAAAATAGAAAGAACGAAAAATAAAAAGCTTTTTAGAAGAAGCGAACTATTATTATTAAAGGGAAACCGTAAATTACCTAGGAATAAACCCTAGAACTATTTAAAATATATTAACCGGTTATAAGAAATATTATATAAATATACCCCCTTTATTTCGTTTACTACCGAATACCGTAGTTCTAGTACGTTACTTATAATTACTCCGAATATTATAGGAAGAAGTAAAATAACCGTTTCTAACCTATTAGGAAATTAAATTAGTAAGGATAATTTAAACCTATTATATATACTTTTAGCCGAGGAAATTTATAGGCTACCCTTATTATAAATAAATAATTTGTATTTAGCCTATATCCCCTTATATAAATAAACGAATAATTAATACCTAAGAAATTTATTGTACGCCCCTATAATATTTATATTTACCTAAAATAGGGAAAAACCAACCCCCAATAGTAATAATACCCAATATTCAACTACCCTATCTATATACAATAGAAAATATAAGCGTATAAAGTAAAAATTGTATATTATATTTAATAAATTAATATAACTAAAAGTATTAAGGATAAAAAAACCGCCTATTTAGTATAATTATAGGAATATTATTCGCTAAATGAGCCCGAACCTAAGGAAAAGGACGCTTTTAATAATTATTACTAGAAATTAGGAAATAATTTAGAACTTTTAAAGAAGCCCGGCAAAAATTAAATCCCTAAACGAAATAGATTATCCAACAATACAACCGCCGGAAAAATAAAATCCGAAACCCTATAATACCTATAGAGGTCGCTACTATAAAAAAAGGGAAAGAGAATTAATAATTTAAAGTTATAACCTATTAAAAGAATTACTAAGCTCTTATATTAATAAATTCCAAAATTTAATTAAATCTTATTTTACCCAAATTCGTTACTTAATTAAAAATTCCCTAAAAGAAAAAGAAGGTTCCTTTTATAGTAAAAGGGCCCTTCGAAATATAGATTATAAAACGGGAAACGTTATTACTCCCTATTATAATAGAAGGTAAAATAGTCGAAATTAATTTCAATATTATAAAAATAGGGCTATTTAAGGATATAATTTTAAGGTACCTATAGTATATAATATACAACCCAAATATTAATTAGAAGGAAAGTAACTACCTACGTCCTAAAATATACCCAATTACTAATAAAAAACCCGGAGTATAATAGGAAGTAAATTAAGGAGGCAATATTCCTACGGCCCTACTATAAATAGTATAAGAAGTTATAATTTATACTATTAATAAAAACGGTAAGGTTATAGAAGAAGGGTTAATAATATTAGTAAAAGTATCAACAATTAACGTATAATATAAATTCGACTATTACTAGAATTAATAAACGGAAAAGCCGAAGATAGTAATCCTAGCTAAATATTAGGGATACCCGGCTTTTATTAATAAGTACTTTAAAGGATTATTACTATAAGGATTATAGAATTATAAGATTAAGCTCAAAGAAGGAGCTAAACTTAAGTTTTTTAAAGTATATTATACTAATAAGAAGTAAAATATAGAATTAAGGAAGTACTTAAACGAAAATTTAAAACGAAAATATATTCGGGAATTTATATTACTAGTAGGGTACTCTATTTTCTTTATACCGAAGAAGAATAGAAAATTACACTTTTATATAAATTATAGGCAATTAAATTAAGAGACTATAAAAAATAATTATCCCTTACTACTAATTTTATACATCCGAAGTCAATTAGGAAGAGTATAATATTTTACGCGCTTTAATTTACTTATTACTTATACCTATATCCGAATTAAGGAAGGAAACGAATAGAAAATAATATTTCGTATACCCTATAAATACTACAAATATTTCATTATACCCTTCGGATTAATTAATATACCTATAATATTCTAATTTATTATTAATTACGTAATTCAACCCTACTTCGATAAATTCGCTATTTACTATTTAAATAATATTCTTATTTATTCTAAAACTCTCGCAAAATATAAAGAATACGTAAAAAAAGTACTAAATATATTATACGAGTACAAACTCTCTATTAATATAGAGAAGAATAAATTCTATATAAAGGAGATTATATTTTTTAGATATTTAATTTTAGAAAATAAAGTTAGGATAAAACTAAATAAGGTAGAAGCTATACGGAATTAACTTATACCTAAAAATACAACCGAAGTCTACGGATTTCTAAAATTTATTAATTTCTACCGGATATTTATATAGGACTATAGGAAAATTATTAGGCCGTTATACGAATTTACTAAGAAAGAGGCCGCTTTTATATAAAGAAAAGAAGAAAAAGAAGCCTTTAGGGCTATTTACAATACTATTACTATAAACCCTATACTAAAATTTCCTAACCTAAATAAACTCTTCGAAATTAAAATTAATATATTAAACTATACTATCAAAAGATAATTAGAATAACGCGACGATTAGGGGAAATTATATTTTATAATTTTCTTCTCAAAAAAGTTGGAAGGACCCCATTATAATTACCCTATTTATAATAAAGAACTCTTAGCTATTATTAAAGTATTTTGAAAATAAAGGCTATATCTTAATAAAACTATATATAAAATATAAATCTATACCGACTATAATAATCTTTAGTATTTTATAATTATAAAGGTATTTAATAACCGCTAAACGCAATAGGCCGAATTCTTATTAAAATTTAATTTTAGGATTAACTATAAAAAGGGATCGGAGAATACTCGCGCCAATATACTAAACTAACGAACCAACTATATAAAAAACGCTATAAAAGCCTTTATATTTTTATTTTAAGAATAACCGAATAGATCGTTCGTATACCCTCTATAAAAATAAGTAGAATACTATACTATCTATAGAGTTAAAATATAGGACCCTAAATTTTATACTATTATCGTCACCCCCGAAGGACAATAGAGATAGGAGGATAATTAAAAAAACGGAATCGTCCTTTAGAATAATAAATTATAATACTATAATAAAACCTACATTTAGCCTAAATGATACGGAACGCTTATTATAAGGATATATATATTTAAAATAGGAGGATATATAAATATTACTAAAATTATAGTACAAATATAGTAATACTACGATTTTCTAAGAATAAAAACTAAAGTAACTCGAATATTATAGGCCTATAAGTATTATAGCAAAACTAAAGTTATAAAATATAAATTATATAAATTCTTCGAACCCTTAGAAGTTACAAAAAGACTATAAAGTTCGGTAATTATAAATTTTATTACTAAATTACTACCGTCTATAAATACTATAATAAGAATTATTTATAATAATATCCTAATAATAGTAGATAGGCTAATTAAATAGAACTACTTTTTACCCTATAAAAAAATATAGTTAATAGAATAATTTATAAATATAATCTATCTGAATATTACTTCGGTATATAGTTGGCCGAAAGAATAAATTACGAATAGGGATACTAAATTCGCATCCAAATTTTAGTAAGTATTAATAACCAAACTCAATACTAAGAGTAAAATATGAATAGTATATTACCCGCAAATAAATAAATAAACGGAAAGGATTAATTAAATTATAGAATAATATTTAAAAAATTATATTAATTTTAAATAAAACAATTAAGTAAAATTATTACCTATAATATAATTAATATACAATACCTCCCCTACGGAAACTACTAAAATTTCACTTTTCTTTATAAACTATAAGTATAAACTAAAACTCTTAGAAGGACTAGATACGAACGTCCCTAAAGCTTTAATTAAAGCTAAAAAACTATACATACTATATAAAAAGCTTAAAGGAGAACTAGAATTCGTTAAATAAAAAATAAACCAATATTTCAATTTAAAAAGGCTCGAGGGACTTCGTTTTAAAGAGGGGGATAAAATCCTTTTATCTACTAAAAATCTTAAAATAAGGAGACTTAATAAAAAACTCGACGACCAACGGGTAGGGCTATTCAAAATTAAAAAGAAAATCTCCAATATAGTATATTAATTAGATATTTCTAAGACTATAAAACTAAAATTATACTCATTCTATATCGTATTACTAGAACCAGCACCTAAAAATATACAAATTAATACGCAAACTAATATTAAGGACGAGGAAGAAGAATAGAATATAGAATAAATTTTAGATTTAAGGATAGAGGAAGAAGAATTAGAATACTTTATTAAATAGAATAGATTTAACCCCGAAAATAATACGTAGGAATCCGTTAGGAATTTAAATTATTTTAAGAAACTAGAAGAATTCTACTAGAGGAACCCGGATCGATTTAGGCTAGAGGATTATTTAATTAGGAAGTAGGGTAATCTACAATACCTAAGGAAGCCTAATTAATTATAAAAGTAGGGGCGTTGGCAGTAAATACCCCTACTAATAAACCTATAGATTATATCGGGGCCTACTCTTTAGCCCGCTCTTTAATTTCTAACGCTTCCAATTCTACTATATTAAATTCTATTAATTCCCATCCCTTCTACATTAGCCGTTTATACTCCTATTTTAATTCGGTTAAACGAAAGGCCCAATCTTTTAAAGATTAGGAAAATACTTCTATTTCCTTTAAAACTTCGGACTCTAATTAAACTACGCGAACCCGTACTTCTAAAATACAGGTTACTACTATTAAATTAATATAGAACTATAAATAAAAGTAAAAGAAGGAAGATATATATTCGGCGTTAGTATCTATATTCTTATAAAGATAAGCGCAACGAATATATTCGCTATATTTTCTAAACGTAGGAAGGCGTTTATATATTAAAGAACAATGGAGGTAAAAACGGTAAGGGTTACTAAGAATTCTAAACTATTTAATACGGGTTAATAAAGACTAGCGCTTTAAGGCCGCCTTAGAAGGATACTTTTTAATATAAAATAATAATATAATAACGATAGGACGGAAGAAAAGGAATTTACTCGGAATCGTAAAACGGATATATAATAATAAAAGAATAAGCGGTATTAAAGAAGATTAGCTTAACCGTCGAGGATATCGGCTAAGGAGGGGGAGTATTATATTATAAATTAATAAGTAAAAGGATACGGGCTAACCGGATTACTAGTACCCAATAGGCATATAAAGGCTAGGTAGTATAACTATAAATAGGGAATAAAGCTTACGGTAGGACTAGGCTTATAAGCCAAGTAAGGCTTATAAAGGTAAATTAAACTTATAAATAAGCCCGGCTTATAGTAATAAACCGAATTTATAAATAAGCCTAACTCATAGGAATAAGCCAATACTATCGCTATAAGCCCACCTATAGAGGCAGTAGGCTACCTATAAGTACAATAAATATAAAAGGACGATTGGAGAACTCAGATTGTTAAATATTTCGATAGTAGTTAATACAACTTAATTATTATTATTAAAACTAGTATTACAAACATACTTATTGTAAACCCTTTAGCTTTACCGAACGACTCTAATAATTCTTACCTTCAGCTATCTCATTTAGGCAGATCAGACTGCCGTTCGTCACAACTATAAAATAAGTAATAGAATTATTTTTTCTTTTTTAAAAAGATTTATCTTCTCGAAATAGATTCTTAAAGAGATTTTTTCATATTTAATTTCAAAAATATTATATATATTATTTTCCCTATTTTAAAAAAAATAAATAAAAATAATATTTTATTAACTTTATAATATAGTCTCTTTAATATTTAATAATTTAACTTATATTTAGATTATATAAAAAGATTGTATTTTAATTATATAAGAACTATTTTTGAAATGAATTATAATTATAGGTTTTTATTATTTATTTTTCTATATATACCTTTTAATAATAAGATAAGTAACTAGAGTACTTTATAAATAATAGTATAATAGTATTTAAAAGCGATTTAAAAAATAATAATAAAGGAAGAAGAATTAAAAGCTAATAGTTAATTTAAAGAGTATATTATATAAAGCCTCTTTATTTCATTATAAATTTATTTAATTGGGTTAGCAACTTACTAACCGGAGACGTTCTAACTATAGTAGCCTTTTTATATAATTAACTAAATAAATTAATTACATATAACTAGCTACCTTGTAACCTTATTTAATTTATAAATATAAATATAAGTATTTAGTATTATATAATCATTTTTAAAACTTATAAAGAAAATAAATATTTTAAATAGTATATATAATAAAAAGGTTTAATAAAAAGGATAATGAGTAGGAAATTAAAGAAGCTTTTTTTCATTTTTAAATATTAATTTTTATTTATATCAACTTTATATATTAGATATTTCTTCAATACCTTTTTTTATAAATATATAATAATATAAAATCTATGTTTATTATTAAGTATAATTAAATATTAAAGTAAAACTATTATTATTATATAAAAAAGGAAAAGAGAAATATATATATATATAAAATTCATATAAAATTTATTATTATAGGTTAATTATATAAATTATAATTAAATTACTATATTAGATATATAAGAACGTAATTATACTATTAACTAATATTTAATATAATATATAAATATAAAAAATTAAATTTCTTTATAAAATATTTCCTTTTCATTACATATTTGAAAATATTTTTTTTAAATTAATTTTAAATATATATAATTTCAAGTTCTATTTATATATCCTGTAGGGTAATATTTTAAAAAAAGTAATACAAAAATTTAAATAGTATAACGTATTGTAATTATAAATTAAAAATACAATTCTAGTATAAAACTATTATACTGCTCAGTTTAATTCCATTATATTATTACCATTACGAATTCTTATTTTATTTATTACCTTCCGCTTAATCTGTTCTAGAACCCTAGTATTAGCACTACGAGCAATATTAGTATTAAAAGTACTAATTCTTTACTACTAAGACTACTCTTCGAACGCTATAAAATTATTAATAATATTTACACTATATAGAAGGAGAATTTACTAAAACGTATAGGACAAGTTTTGGCTACGTAGGCTGTATAGTAATAGTAGTAAGCGCTACTAAAAGTCTCAGAACTATTATTAATATATTTAGTAAAGGGTCTAATATTATAGAATTCTCTATATTAGGTATATTAAACTTCACTTAGGCCGTCTATAAAAAGATAGTATACAATACTGATATAATATTTACAATACTTCTAATTAAGTCCCTAAGTATTAATATAATTATTCGCCCAATATTATTTAAAGGAGAGGTTACAAATAAGGTTCTAAATATAATATTTATTTGAAATACATTTCAATTGAGTGAGAAATAAATAAATTGCCTACGAAATACCTTCCTAATATTTAATAGATGGTAGATATTTACGAATTTGTATTTATATAGTACTTTTATAGCGTACTTAGTACGCTCAAACTTATTATTGTATTAATTCTATTATAGCTTTATACTACTAAGAAATTGGCCATTTAGAGTAAATTCGCTAAGCGATGAAAATATAGCGGTAATATAATAAGAGGTTGCAAGGAATAAAGTAGGAATATGTAATAGTAAGGTTATAGTTTGTAGGTAATTTATAAATGTACCTATGTCTAGGTTATACTCACTCGAAAGTGAGTTGTAAACGGATTTTAGTTATACTACCTAGGGGTAGTTATAACGAATAGCAGGTGTTCCCAAGTGTCAGGTGGGGTAGAATATAGTTGGGCGTCCATACTGCCGTAGAGAGGAGACTGGAGGGACTGTGCACACGGACACCAGTGGGTGGGTGGAGGAGGAAACTTCCATCCATGTCACTATCGCAATGAACCTGAAGGGAGAAGCTATGATCCCGTTCTCATTTTACCATTGTTACCACCTTCCTAACCACGACTAACAACATGTCCCGTCACTACACTAATCACTGCTGGGTCGGGCAAGATTGTCCCTCATGCTGATTGAGTCATTGAGGTGCCCGTTGCTAGATACCTAGTGTAGTGTACCTCGGCGGTTCTATAGCTGAACAAGTTACATTAGTTGCTAGCCGACAAGTGATGCCGTCGCCTGCGGGCTATCAGTGTACTTGTACCTACACAAACTGAAGCAACACGGGCTGCCACCATCGGGGCTGGCAGTGGCGTGCCAGTGTCTTGGGCTTATCGACGGTCCGGCGATCCATGCAACACACAGTGCATATAGCAGCAGAGTTGAAGTTGACGTTCAGCGAGTTCACTATCTGTGTGAGACTGCATCTCACTGCAATTTTTTGTACCTGCTTGGCAGTCTCGACTCGGACAAAAAGCAACACCGGCACTTTTGAAGAGAACCGTTTTTGAACACACATCGGCCAGCATGGATGGAACTTGCAAGGAATCTGGCGAACTCCGGCGGGTCGGTTGCATTGCCGCCCATCACCAAATTCAGTTCCCTTGACGTAAATCTGCCCTGTTGCCGGACTTGGCACGACGGTGGGAAGCTCTCCACGGACACTGCAGTTACCGCCATTCACCACCACGCCATCCATCACAGCATCATCCACAGCCACACAGATGGACATGGCCGTCGCCACGCCTCCCCACACATCAACCTCTCTTGACCTGTTGAGAGTCTCACAGGCATCAAGACCAGTCTCAGGGGGGGCGTTGTGCCTGGACTCGTACCACTGTCAAACCGCTAAAAGAGCAATGCAGACGGCAGCTTTACTTGACGGTTGGTCTCGAACTTGCCGCGAAACATCAACTCCATCCAGGTTACGGTAACGTGGAAGGGGGCCAAGCGTACACACATACGTAGGTACGACATCTCTCTGGCATCTGCTTCTGCTTCGGAACCACTTCCCCGTACCTTGGAATACCACCATGATCACTACAACCTTTGGTCCAAGTTCGCCTTTTAGCATCAGGTCCGACCCTGACACCACATGGAAGACCTGCGCAGCCTTGGTGGCACAAAAGGGCCCTTTAGGATTTTCAAGGGATGGACTTCGTTCGTCTACCATACATCATCCTGGCTCAATAACCCGGCTGTAATGTTGGCGTCTGCAAGCTGCGCTTCCGCGGCGTCTTTTGTTTCCTCACACAATGGGAAAGGTGCTTTACATACATACACTTGGGGGTAGCAGATGCACGACACACTGAGGCGCCGCCATGAGCCCCTTTGGAGACATGCCTCATTAAAACATTCTCCCGAGTCTCAGGGGCTACGAATCTGGAGAGTCACAGTCACCTTGAGCCTTTTTTTTTCTTTGTGATATGATGTTTGTGTCAACGGATTTGACGATACATAAACAGTACCCTGAGCGTCGATCTCCCTCGGCCCCAGGTCGAATCAGAACTAATCTTCTCCAGATGTTATGCACGACAGCAATCGGGGTCACAGTTCGGGGTCCTTGATAGCCTCAGCTCCATGACCCTGAAACAGCCGCCAACCCGGAAAGGGAACGCTTTATAATGGGACAACACCACGAGGAACATGGCACACAAGACGCCATCAATGCCATGTGGTTTCGAGTTTCAGCCAGAAACAATCAGGCCAGAATATCTTGGTCTGCGCATATGATGTAAAAGAGGCAGTACAGTATGGTAGTCGCTCAGCCGGTACTCATCTAGATAATACCAGCCATAAATCCCAGCCCAGGGTTAGGGGTAAGGGTTAAACAACCATGTAAGGAACCGTTGCCGCGGTGCAGGCATTGCAGCTGAGTGAGTGGTGCATTGCCCAAGCTGCCATTTTGGAAACGCGTGAAACATGGAGTGTAGAGTAGAGTATCATCTCGATGTTTGCATCAATTTATGACGTTCATCAAATGAGGTGGATACTCCCCCTGTTCACACCTAGAGGAAGCCATCCGCTGCACCTTGGAAATGTTGTCAAATCGTCAGAGAAATGTGAATCCGCATAATCTTTGGTTCCAACATTGGGGGAAAGGTACAATGTACATACGTATTTGTTACCAACCAGCCTGTTCACCGCGGTGAGCCCGACACCTCACCGAGCCAACAGCAGCGCTTCAAGGACACATGAACTCTGGTTTCACGGACAACAACAAACACATCACAACTGTGCAGAACTTGGACAAATCATCCAAGGGACACAACCGCAACGAACCAAAGCAGCTCACAGATACCTACCTACCCATCCATCCCGCCAAGACTCCACTCAAGTTTGATCCTCAACCTGGCTCAATTAATCTTTTGCATGTTTCGAATCCAAATCGGGATTCAGCCTCATTAAACGCTTACGCGCCGAGCGGAAACGTCGTCAAAATCACTTTCATCTCATTATTTTCGGATCCAGTCCAGTGCAACAGAAGCCCAGTCCCCAGGGCCTTATTTCGGGATAATTTCCGTCGTCACAGCAACAGCCAGCCACACAAAATACACCAAACAACGACCGGCAACACGCGGCTTAACAGGTCGACGCTGTCAATATCACCTTGAGAGCAGAGCTAACTCTATCTGTTGCAATTACGATAATCACGATAAGATTCGGAAACAACCTGGATCCAATAGAAGGGAACGAGGGGGCAAGGAGACGGGGCTGGGCAAGACTACGTCACACAAGACCTCCCATTCAATCGTGCAAGAGAACAAACATTCTGCAGCCCGTCACCCACTACGGACCACCACCGGATTCATCAAGACCACTCACTCACTGCCCTCACTATTCAATCATCTACCTACCTAAATCTCACCCACCACTCCCATCAAAACCTCTAACTTGTCATATTCTCACACCCCTCACATCCAAAATGACCACCATCACCGCTTCTTCTCCCTCATCCACCCTTCAAGATGCTACCGCCTCCCCATTCTCTCCAACAGAACAAGACCCCTACAACACCCAAATCGACGCCCTACTCACCCGCTACCTCCTCTTGCTAGACGAGTACACCACCCTCCGCTCCTCGCTCTCCAGCCTGCAGGCCGGCATGTACCAGAACCTGGCGCGCGCAAACTTTACCGCTGAGCGGGGCGTGCGGTACGGGAAGGAGTACTTTGATGAGAGGATGGTGGCTAGTAGGAGGGTTCTGGTGAGGGTTGGGGCAGGGAAAGGAAAAGGGAAAGGGGACAAAAAGGAAGAAGAAGAAAAAGAAGAGCACGGTGGGTGGTGGTGGTGTGAGGATGAGGGGGGGCAAAGGGTGGAGTTTGGGGTTGTGGAGGTTGATAATTTGAAGGTAGAAGTGGTGAAAGAGAAGAAAGAGAAGAAGGAGGGGGAGGAGGAGGATGATGTGAAGCAAGATGAGAAGAAGGAACCGGAAGAAGTGGTGGGTAAGCACAAGGAAGCCAAGGAGGAGGTTATTCAAAGAGCAGACACAACAGCAACAACAACAACAACACCACCACCACCAGTAGCGTCTGCCGACCAAGACTCCGGAACCCTCTCGAGCCCCAACGATGACACCGATACACCCGAAGCCGACAAGGAAGATGACACCAAAAAGAAGATTCGAAAAAACGACCCTCTTCGCTGGTTCGGCCTCCTCACCCCGCTTCCGCTCCGCCTTGCCCAGACCCAGGCCATCCAAGCCGTGGAGCAAATCATTCCGCGGCTGGTGACGGTTAACGCGGAGATGGCGCAGGTGGAGATTGAGGTACGGAGAGCGAGGAAGAGAAGGGAGAAAGCGGCTGTCAAGGCGAAGGCGGCGGCGGTGGCGGCGGCGGCCAAGGATGCTAAATAAAGCTAGTTGGGGTGAGGGAGAGACTGGTGTTTTAGGTAAATAGAGGAGGGAGGGAGGGAAAGAACGGGAGATAAAAGTAAAAGATTTGTAAACTTGAGAGATGGGAATAGCGAAACCAATGGCGAATTGGTGATTAAACCACCTAGCTTCGACTCGGCTGGACAATGAATGAATGACCACGAGCAATGGACATCACCGTGAGTAAAATCAGATAGATGTTGATGAAATGGCAATTGATAAGTTATCTAGAGTTATCTATCTACTATCTCAATTCTCCATGTCACTATCCTGTCATGACGAACGTCTTACATTTACCAGGGCGGTTATTCCCGCGAGGGGTAGCATTGTAACCTTGTGCCAATCTTTCCCCTCACTTTTTTTTTTGTGTTTCTTTACTTTACTATCGGAGATGCCATCGGAGATGCCACCGGAGAGATGAGAGGCAGGGACAGATTGAATCAAGACACCTGATTAAATAACTTCAGCTACCGTTCAACTTCTATTCCTCTCTTTTCACGACTCTTTCCAACAAGCAGCGTCTTTCGCATATCGCTTTAACTCTCTCATTTCTTTTCTTTGGTCCTAACCAAGGGGAAATCGATATCATGAGAATACTAACCTCACTCTCCTCGGCCGCTATTCTACTAGTAGCTTTCGGGGGCCAACTGGTCCAAGCATGCCAGCACCATGGCCATGGCCATGGCCATGACGGTGACGGCCATGACAAACAATGGACGATAACACCTGAAGAACTAGCTGAACTGAAAGAATTGGAGAGAAAATGGGGAACGGATGTAAGTTTGTCATGATTCAGCTTCACTATGAACAACCTTCTTGCATGGCTCTTTCTGCTCGGCCCGGCCATAGCTAATACTCTGAAAACCTAGTGGTCATTCTCCGGCATTACCACCTTTGCCCATCTCAAACACGTCAAATGCCTGACTACACCCAGCGAAAAGTTTGATATTGCCATTGTTGGGGCGCCGTTCGATACGGCTACTTCTTATCGGCCTGGTACGGTGCACTTTTCACTTTTTTACCTTCTCACTGCTTGGGGACACTTTTAACTACTCACCTATCCTGATCTACTACACCGGCCTTACCTTGATCTGATCTGGTCTGATCGAGCCGAAAGCTGACAACTTACCAACCGTGGCAATGAAAAGGCGCTCGCTTCGGTCCCCGCGCCATCCGCCAAGCATCAAGCAGACAAACCTCCTTCCGCGGCTTCAATCCCCGCGCAGGCATCAACCCGTACGCGAGCTGGGCGACCATCATCGACTGTGGTGATATCCCTATCACGCCATTTGACAATGCTGTGGCGCTGGAGCAGATGTCTGAGGCTTTTGTTGAACTGGGGTCGAGAAGTGCTCCCCTGGGTGAGACGGGGAAGGGGAAGGGGAAGGGGAAGGGGAGGCCAAAGTTGATTACTCTCGGTGGTGATCACAGCTTGGCGCTGCCGGCGTTGAGAGCGTTGAAGAAGGTATATGGGAGGGAGGTGAGGGTTGTGCATTTCGATGGTTAGTTTCTTTTTTTTCGTCACCTTTCTCACTTAGCTCTTTTCCGACCTCCCACTTTGGCAACCGGTGTTGACAATGACCCAAATAGCCCACCTCGACACCTGGCACCCAGCCAAGTACCCCTCCGCCTGGCCCTCGACCCAATCGCACTTCAACCACGGCTCCATGTTCTGGCTCGCTGGGCAAGAAGGTCTTTTGTCCAACAGTTCTTCCGCCTCCAACATCCACGCCGGCCTCCGCACCCGCCTCTCCGGCACCGACCCCTCCGATTTTGTCGATGACTCCTCGCAAAACTGGCTGCGCATCTCAGCAGACGATATTGACGACCTCGGCGGTCCCGCAGGCGTCATAGCTGCCATCATGGACCAATTTGACTTGAACGACCCCGATCCAGACCCGGTGTACCTGTCCATCGACATTGACGTGCTTGATCCGGCTTTCGCTCCAGGCACGGGCACGCCGGAGCCGGGAGGGTGGACGACCAGGGAGTTGATAAGGATTTTGAGAGGGCTGGTGGATGTGCTGAATGTGGTGGGTGCGGATGTGGTGGAGGTTAGTCCGGCGTATCAAGGGAGAGGGGAGGAAACGGCATTGGCGGCTGCGCAGGTTGTCTATGAAGTGCTGACGGGGATGGTTAAGAGGGGGTTGAAGGACGGTTCTAGTGAGGAAAAGGTGAAGGGTGGTGTTGACAAGGCTCATGATGAACTTTGATCCTTGGCCGTTTACCTGGTAGACTAGTTCTCGTGGATGTTGTAGCCCTTGCAAGCTACCTCCACCGAGGTCGATGGAAGCTCGTATATCGGGAAGCTGTTGGAGTCACACCTTCCTAACAAGCCAGGCATGCATTCTCCCAAGGAACGGTGAGAGTAGAATTAGACCCGTATCGATGTAGCTGACTCACGGAGCACGAGCGGTCAGACCTCCGTCTGATAACGGAATGTGTCTGGACCTTGGTACTCTGACACGGGACGAATCATGAACACCCGGGTATTCGGCCAGATGTTTCAACTGGTGCCATCGAGAGTCAAGACTTAAAGATGTAATGTCATTGAGTGAGGGGAGTCATGTTTGGGCGTCTTGGTGAGTCTTCAGTTCCATATGTCGAGGGATTCAAGAGGAATGAGCTGTTATCGCGAATGATGTTGAATATTGTTTTTAGAGGTTCGATAGGTTGCGGTCGATCATACAATGCAGGAGTCGTAGAGGGACCTTACCGGACAGATAACATGGCCTCCCGTTATCTATAGTTGTAGTGTGAATTGCGGGCAGTGACGTTCCGTCTGATCGGGGGGTGTTCTAGACAAGGGAACACAACCAAGGGATAGGGAAGGGGGTGAGTCACCGACGTCGCTGCTAGGTCCCCGGGCGATTGCTGCCCACACTGCAGCGCTAACAGCGGCCCCCTTCTGCCCCGCGTGCGATACGTTTTAACATTTTGGGCCCGACCTGAGGTGACCCCACCATCCCATCTCCCCCCCACCCGTCCCGTCCCCATTCACTTTTATCTCCCGCCGCCCCGCGCAAATCTTGGGTCTTGTTTTGTCCCAAGCCAAGTCAATCTCCAAAATGGCGACACCACAAGAGCTCGCCGATCGCACAAAAAGCGACGCCAAGGTCTACGTCGACACAGTCGCCGGTAAGGACGACGAGTCCGCCGACGGCTCCGAGGCCAAGCCCTACCAGTCGCTGTACCACGCCCTCATCCAGAACCTCGATAAGCCCGCGCCCACATACCTCACCAAGGTCGCCCCCAAGGAGGGCTCTACCGATGGCCCAACATGGGAGGAGGCTGCCAAGAGCGCCATGAAGAAGGCCGTCGGCCGCGTCGACCAGTACAAGAAGAAGCTGCAGAAGGAGAAGGAGGCTCTCAAGAAGGAGGAGGAGGAGCGCCAGCAGCGCCTCAAGAACCTCGAGGATGCCAAGAAGATCGTTCTCAAGGAGGATCCTTCTCTGCCCGAGGCTGTCCGCATCCGTCTCAACAACAAGTCCATCGAGCTCGGTGACGAGTCCAAGAAGGGCACCCGCGTCAAGGTCTTCGGCCGCATCCACCGTCTCCGTGTCCAGAAGCACGCCACCTTCCTTACCCTCAAGGACGGCTACGGCTTCCTCCAGTGCGTTTTGCCCGCTGGCGACCTCACCAAGAACTACGACGCTCTCTTGTTCGCCCAGGAGACCGCCCTTGTCCTCTACGGTGAGCTCAAGAAGCTCCCTGCCGGTGCCACTGCCCCCGATGGCCGCGAGCTCCAGGTCGACTACTACAAGGTCCTCGGCCACGCCCCCAGCGACCTCGACGCCATCACCAACAAGGTCTCCCGCGACCAGGATGCTTGGGATGCTGCCATGCTTGACAACAGGCACTTGGTCCTCCGTGGTGAGAACGCCTCTGCTCTCATGAAGCTCCGCGAATTCGTCGAGCTGGCCTTCGTCGATACCTACCGTGAGCTCGAGTTCCGCAAGGTCTCTCCCCCGGCCATGGTCCAGACCCAGGTCGAGGGTGGCTCTACCCTCTTCAAGTACGACTACTACGGCGAGGAGGCCTACCTCACCCAGTCCTCCCAGCTGTACCTCGAGACCGTCCTTGCCTCCATGGGCCAGGTCTACTGCATTGAAAAGTCTTTCCGTGCCGAAAAGTCTCTTACCCGTCGCCACTTGTCCGAGTACACCCACGTCGAGGCCGAGCTGGACTTTATCGAGTTCAACGACCTTCTTGACCATCTCGAGGAGATCATCTCCAAGGTTGTCGACCGTGTTCTCAACAACGAGACCGCCGCTGGCTACCTCAAGGTCCTCAACCCTGACTTCAAGAAGCCCGAGAAGTTCCTCCGCATGAAGTACGAGGATGCCATTGAGTGGCTCAACAAGCAGGATCCCCCTATCCTCAACGAGGAGGGCAACCCCCACGTCTTCGGTGACGATATCGCCGAGGCTGCTGAGCGCAGGATGACTGACATCATCAACCGCCCTATCCTCCTTACTCACTTCCCCGTCGAGATCAAGGCCTTCTACATGAAGAAGGACCCCAACGATCTCCGCGTTACCGAGTCCGTCGATGTTCTCAGTAAGTTTGGTCTGTCCATTCACGTCTGTAACGGTTCATCACTAACACTGATCTCCAGTGCCCGGCGTCGGCGAAATTGTCGGTGGCTCCATGCGTATGGATGACTACGATGAGCTGATCGAGGCCTACAAGAAGAACGGCATCGGCCACGAGCCTTACTTCTGGTACACCGACCAGCGCAAGTACGGCACCTCCCCCCACGGCGGTTACGGTCTCGGTCTCGAGCGCTTCCTCGCCTGGATGGCCAACCAGCACTCGGTCCGCACGACTTGCTTGTACCCTCGCTTCATGGGCCGTTGCAAGCCTTAGATGTTGTTAGCAACAACTTGGAGTGGGGTTACGGTTGGGGGGGAGGTTGAGGTTGAGAAGAAGGAGGAAGTGGTCGTGATTGTGGTCATGGAGAAGAAGAATAAGAGTTATGGCTGTTCTTCAAAGCAGCACCAGCGGCAGAAGAAAAGGCGCAGGGCGTCTACTACTGCTGCTGCTGCTACTGTCATTGGCAACAACATGAACAAGCAAACCGAGAGAAGAAGAAAGAGAGAGACGAAGAGAAGTAGAGATGTCATGAGAAAAATTCAAAGGATTCTAGAAATGCGTGGAGTCTGGTGCATGAGGTTTGTAGCGAATATATGGACCTTGAAGTTTCTGTCAATTATCTTAAACTTTTCTATTCTGGGCGCGACTTATAGATATGTTGCAAGTCTGTCGTTGATTCGTTTAATGGGTGATGGGTCGAGGGGCATACTCGGACCTCGGACCTCCGAAATCCCACAACCCGGACTTCTCAGGGAACTAACCGCATAATCACGGCTTGAGGAAGATGGAACATGTGATACCTTGATTGACGGGACTTTAAGAAGTTGAAGTTGCACTGAGGAGTAATACTGCACCAACACCTTTTTCCAGATTGTGCCGAGAAAAGTTGGTCTGATGCTTCTGCATCATGCACTTCGCTGCGATGCAAGATCTACCTAGATCAGGTAATCGTAACGGGCGCAGTGTCCATGGCAAGTGTCAAAAAAGTCTCCCTGTCAATGGAGAGTGTGAAAAGTGTTTCCATCAACCACAGTCCGTTTATCACATCACATCAGATGCTCTTCTGAACACCTTCACTCCGGCAGTTTACTATGTACCTTACTTAGTCTGTACCCCACGTTCTTATACTCTCTACCACACAGCTCCCTCCCGAGGATCAATGTCTACCTACCTAGGTATGTTGTCTAGACATGATTTTTACTCTGATCCCCCACACAGATAATGATGTCGTCGTCCTTTACTGCGTCATCACTCAAGTCTCGAAAACTCCAGCCAGGACCGAGTCCCTTAGGGGTTTCAGTTGCAGATTGAATTTGGGGCTCTTTTGCTTTTTTATATAGCACTGCCCCCCTCATATCAACTGTCAACTGTCACTCCAACCGCGGTCGTCGCCCCCCGCTTCGCCCCGATGGATGTAAGTATTCATAGTGCAAAACCCTTGAGAAACCCCGGATTCTTGAGAGAATACCATGAGCAGGATTACATGCCTGTTAAGCATGAGGCCGAAAGGTTCCAAGGTGAGAAGCAAGCACCAAGGTACCTCTACTTAAGTAGGTATGTAAGTATCCAAGCCTCGGCGAGCTCACCCAGGTACCTACTGGAGTAGTGTATGTACCTAATAGTTAAACCTGGAGGGAAGCAAGCAAGCAAGTAAGCAAGCAGTGATTGATCGATGTACGTCACAAAGATCGCCGACGGGAGTGTTTGAGAAAAACATGGCAAGTTGTATGTGTAGTGTAGTTAGTGTAAGTACTTGGCGCAAACTGCACAACTGCAAACTGTGATAATTCTCTCACTGTGAACCGAACTTCTCCCTCACTTGCTGCGAGCTTCCAGGCTGTAGTGGCATGGCATGGCATGGTAAATGCCCTCTTCTTTGCTTTGCTTTGCTCGCTGCTGACACACAAGCGCGCGTAGCCGAGAGGTTAAAGCCAAGCCCGTGAAGAAAAGTTCGGTAGGATCGTTGCGTGAGAGTAAACAAATGGAAAGTTACGGGTACCGATGGTTGTGGTTTGTATACCTCTAGTGTATGCATGTTCCATTGCTTCATTGCTTTTTGTGTACACTAATAGGTAAAGATAATCTGGGGAAGGGTTTGTTTGGTGGAAATGTAGTGTAATTGAGGACAAACTGAATTTCAGGGGTTGGTACGTAGTGAGAGCAGAAAGGATATTCCAGAAATAGATATACATATGTCAGGTATTTTCCGTTTTTGCGCTTTTTCATTGAGAAAACTGAAGGGTTGTTGGCTGGGTCGGGTCGGGTCGGATCGGTGATGGACGGCCAGGATACTAATGGGAAGGGAAGAAACACCACGGTGTCGGCGATTTGGACACCGTCTTGATCTTGAAAGGGTGGAGCATTGATTGGGATTGGGATTGGCTTGGATGTGGCGGGGTGTTCTGGCGAGGGCTGTTCGCGTTCGGGGGTCTTGACGATTTGAACCCCGGATCGGGGAGTGAAGGATTTCCGCATAGATGACAAAACATTTGTTCTGCGCAGTATGTCTTCGGTAGTAATTTTGAAACGAGCGAACGCCGCCGTTTTCAGTTTACTGAGTGTTCATAATAGGAAATCAACAGCCGTGAACGGCAATGATAACTGCCAGATTCGTAAACCCCAAGTATACAAGACTCCCATTATAGTCATGTTCCCTGTCCCATATCTTATATTGTCACTACATAGTATACGCAGTAGGACACTCTACCTCCCGCAAGCAAGATATAAGAAGCTGCGGGTAGGCGATCGATAATGGTAATCTTCGTGGCATTGCTGCCGCCGCACAGTTTTCCCACGGTGGCGGTGGATAAACATCGTGGATAGAGAGACAAGGTTTGGGTGGAAGTCTGGAGACAAATTTCACAAATTTCCGGATCGATCCGCTCGTTGGAGGCGATTGCGATTGCGATTGCGATTGCGGAGGGCAGGCGGGATACTTGATCTCCTGTCCCTTGATCGTAGACAGGTACCCTTAGTACTGTACACGTGTGGTATCAAGTCTTGGGATGAATCTTATGGGCTTGTTGGTGAAAGCACTCGTCGTCTGTGAACTTGCAAGTAGCACATGGATAGAGGTAACAAGGCCCTCCAGTAGTAAGTTGGCCGTCCCGCAGTTCACGGGCGGCCCACGGCCCACGGCGGTCCAATCCCCCGATCCGTGGGTATTGGATCCGGAGCCGGTTCTACCTACACACTCGCGTGCGGCGTGCGAGTGACGAATGGCGTGCAGACAAAGTCGCGGAGTGCGGACTCGCAGCGAGTGCGTTTATGTGTTACACTACAAAGTGAAAGCATGGCAAGCTAACAGGTACGTGTCCTATGTATAAGTATAGGTCCCTGTTCCAAGAAGGGTAAGTCGAGGGGAATGCAACGTCAGCATATGTACCCCTTTTTTGGCGTCTCTTCGTTGCAGCCAAAGGGAGGACACCAGCGGGTGGAGCATACAGATTGCATATTCAAGAAGGGAAACAACCTAGGAAGTTGCAAGTGGAAGGGACGGAAAAGGGGGTCATGCAGAACCAAACTAATAGAGGAGGAGTCCGTCCATTGTTTCTCTGCATGCAATTCATCAATGGAACACTCAGGAACTTGAACTAGATCCGTCACCATGATACATTCAAATGGTCCATAGGCATTTCCCGTTGCCACTTGCCAGGCGTGCTGCCCTGAGGTGGAGAGTGGAGAGTGGAGTACCCATCTGGCGGGATTGGACGGCCATGTCGATTGAGACCAAACGGCTAGCCAGGTGTGTACTTATCAAGGCGGGAGTGACATGCGCATAGCATTGCGTTTTGACAGTTGACAAGCCTTGATACTATCCAACTTTAAGATTCAGGTTGGAACATATGCAGCCAGCTTAACTTCAATCCATTGGACCAAAACACCAAGGTTTCTCCAGTTGCGAGTCAAATATAGTCCGCTATTGCAATGAGGAAAAAAAGGGTTCAAGTCTCGAACACACCAAGCACAATGCAAGGAAGCACGCCTGCTGACGACGGTGCTGACCGCTGGGTGGCCTTACTAACAAACTAAAAGTCGCTGCTGCATGTGACACACGCCAAAAGCTACATGTTCTTAGATGGTCAGCCCAGGGATCTCAGCAGCGTCAGGACCCTGCCAGCGATGGCGCCTGCTTGCACTAGACTAGTCGAGGTGCGTGTGGTGGTGGTGGTGGTGGTGGTGGGCAATTAAACTGGCCCTGCCGAGCCAGACCACTTCGGGCTCATGGGGCCATTTGTTAACGTTGGAGAAGCAGAAACCACATCCACCTTTACCTCCCTTGGTCCCCATCCATCCGTCAGAAAGCACCAATCACGTCCGTCTGTTCCTGGACTTTAATCCCCCATCAAAGTCTCCTCTTCTTTTCCAGTCTGTCTCTTCCCCTTTGCACCCTGTCGCCTTTTGCTGGTCTTTTTACCCTTCAGGATTTCCTTTTTTACCTCTTGGATTGATCACTTCCCTCGCTTCCGTCAATCCTCTTCCTCCTCCTCCTTTTTTCCCCGTCCCTTCCCCCCTCTTTGGCCCTCCCTGGAACATAGTCTCTTCAGTTCCGTTCTTAGTTGTGGCTTTCCTTCTTCCAATTGCCCGTTGCGCAAGGAGAGACCGCTTCTTCAGTCTTCCACTTTTGGGGCCTACAGCCTTGCAAAACCCAACCGAGGTCTCGATCCACTCCTCAATCAGGTCCTTTTGCAAGCTTTGCTCACTCTTCCTTCGACAAACACTCGTTGCCAAGTACCGTCTTGCTAATTACACCCTTACAACCCTTTCAATTCTTCCCCACGGGACGAAACGAACCCCCCCGACACGACCGCAGACGGACCTTGCTAGCTTTCATCCCGACTGACAAGCCAAGTCCCAATCTTCGTTCTCGACTCGATTTCCCCCCGGTTCGCTTCTTCTGCCACGGTGTGAAGATTCACTACCTCGCCTTTAACTCGACATTCGCTTGAAGAGAGAAAGAGAGAAAAAAAAAAAGAGAGAGAGAGGGTCAAATACTTATAAACGTCACGTTGGTCGATTACGATAGCGATATTTAATAGCTCTATACAAAATCTTCCTTTGTTCGGCTTCGACACGCTTGGATCGATTCCCTCCACATCGACCAACCCCTTTCGGCGCCCCCTGCCGCGAAGCAATTGTCTTTGCTCCAAAGAGACAAGAACAAAACCAATCCGGCCGCGGTCACCTTCGAGCTCTCCCGGCTGCCTTGGCACTCGACCGTTTCTTTCTCTGAATCCGGCTTGCCTCTTTGCTTCACTTCTGTCGACGTCCAGTTTCCTGGCTTCGACAATACATAACCGCAACACTTCGAATACCTTTTGTTTCGGCAGCGTTGTGGAGCATCATAGTGACAGGTTTTAGACAAATCTGTCCGCCATCTCGAGACACCGTGTATACTTACCCAGCAGTCATACTCTCTTGTCGAGTTTTTGGCCGCACTTTCTTGAACAACGACTGGTACATTCCATCGCGTGTATCTTCTTCTCGGTTGTGCCTTTACCAAGGGGCACGTTTAATCCTTCAAGACGGCGGTTCTATCTCACCTTTCTCGGGACTCCTCTGTCCCGGCGCACTTCCTCGGGATGCAAGACTACTCAGGCCACCAGGGTGGGCACAACGGCCACAACGGCCAGGGCCGCTTCGGCCACGCCTCCAAGCCTTCCAATAGCGACACCGGCTTCTCCCACGGTGCCTTCACTTCCAACATCTCCGGCTTCGCCGAAAGACACCCCCGCCGCGGCAACATTCCTTCGATTAATACGCAGCCCATGCAGCAGCAGAACTCCCACCACAACGTCAATGGCCAAGACCTGACCAGTCCCGGTACCGCCTTCGACATGCAGTTCACTCCTTTGCTGCCCTCTACCCTTCTCGTCGGTAGCCCCTTCCAGCCGGGCACCCCCGCTGGCTTCGCTAGCCCCCAATTCCAGAGCATTCCTGCCTTCCAGCAGCAACAGCAGCAGCAGGGTTACCAGTCGCAGAACGGCGCCGCCAGCCCGGTTCAGCAACACATCTCACCCCAGATGTACCAGCCCATCGTTTCACCCTCTGCTTACGGCGCGCCTCAGTTCTACGCCCCTCAGTCGCCCACGGGTTCTTACAACAACATGGCGCAGATGCAGATGCCTGTCCAGCCGCAGTCTCCGGTCAACATGGGCCCCGGCATGGTGACCGGTACCAGCCGTACCGTTTACCTTGGCAACATCCCCCCCGACACCTCTGCTGAGGAGATTCTGGGACATGTTCGTAGCGGTCAGATCGAGTCCGTGCGGTTGCTCCCGGACAAGAACTGCGCTTTCATTTCTTTCTTGGACGCGAGCTCCGCCACGCATTTCCACTCTGATGCCATCTTGAAAAAGCTCTGCATCAAGGGGCAGGATATCAAGATTGGCTGGGGCAAGCCTTCACAGGTCCCTACCTCGGTCGCTCTCGCTGTTCAGCAGTCTGGAGCCTCTCGCAACGTTTACCTTGGCAACCTGCCTGAGGAGGTCACTGAGGAGGAGCTGCGCGAGGATCTTGGAAAGTTCGGTGCCATTGACACCGTCAAGATTGTGAAGGAGAAGAGCATTGCCTTTGTGCACTTCTTGTCCATTGCCAATGCTATCAAGGCCGTCGCCCAGCTTCCCCAGGAGCCAAAGTGGGCAGCTCCGCGTCGTGTGTACTATGGCAAGGACAGATGCGCCTACGTCTCCAAGACCCAGCAGCAGAACGCCGCTCAGTACCTTGGTATCTCGCCGGGTTATGCGCACATGCTCAGTGGTGCGGATCGTGATTTGATTTCTAGCGCCCTGGCTCAGCAGTCCGTCGCTGCCGCCGCCGTCGCCACCACCGCTGGCGGTCTTAACAACCTTGGAAACCGCACCATCTACCTCGGCAACATCCACCCCGAGACTACTATCGAGGAGATTTGCAATGTCGTCCGCGGAGGTCTGTTGCACCACATTCGCTACATCCCCGACAAGCACATTTGCTTCGTTACCTTCATCGACCCTACTGCGGCCGCTTCCTTCTTCGCCTTGAGTAACCTCCAGGGCTTGATGATTCACAACCGCCGGCTGAAGATTGGCTGGGGCAAGCACTCCGGTGCCCTCCCCCCTGCCATCGCTTTGGCCGTCAGTGGTGGCGCTTCTCGTAATGTCTACATCGGCAACCTTGACGAGACGTGGACTGAAGAGCGCTTGAGGCAGGACTTCTCCGAGTATGGCGAGATCGAGCTCGTTAACACGCTTCGTGAGAAGAGTTGTGCGTTTGTGAACTTTACGAACATTGCCAATGCCATCAAAGCGATTGAGGCTGTCCGCAGCAAGGAGGAGTACAGGAAGTTCAAGGTCAACTTTGGCAAGGACCGCTGCGGCAACCCGCCTCGTCAGATGCAGCAGCAGAACAACTCCCGCGACAACCAGGTTCCCTCGCCCCAGGTGAATGGTGCCAGCCAGAACGGAAACTCGCCTACTTCCAACGGTGCCCCGGGTCTCCCTGCCCTGTTCAGTCAGCACAACCCGTTGACTATGTACCTTAACCACGTCAGTCAGCAGGCTCAGCATCACCAGCAGGCCCACCAGCAGTCTCTTGCTCCTTACCAGGCCGCCCTCTTCGGCACCGCTTCGTCCTCACCCAACGAGCAGTCCGGTATGAGCCTCGAGGTCCCTCAGGGTCCTTCCATGTCCGGCCACCAGCAGTCTGCCAGCATCTCCAACGTTAACGGCTTCATGTCCAACGGCTCTGGCGCCCCCACGATGAACGGTCTGCTTGCTCCCGGACGATCTTCACACAACCGGGCTGTGAGCTTGCCCGTCCTTGCCCCTGGCTTCGAGAACGGTGGTACCAGCCCGAACAGCCTTCATGGTAGCAATGAGGGTAACGGTGAGAGGCGTGGGCATCAATACCAGGCCAGCTACGGCGGTATGGGTGCCGGATTCGGCTTGGCCATTCAGGGAAACCTCAACCAGTGGGTTGAGGAGGAGGTCACTAACTAAGATCTCTGACGTCATTGTCGATGTGATACAAACTTTTGAAGCTTCTCGAATCGATCAGTAGGGTAATATAACGGAGGGTGGGGAGTTGTGTTGTTCATTCGCAGCGAGAGACTACATGATTAAGCATTTGGGATCAGCGACAAAGGGACAATACATGCCAACGGATAGGCAGGTAGGCAGGCAGGCAGGCGGTTTTTGTTACACTTGCAACAAATGAATGAGCTAGGATGTGGTTGTGTATACGAATCGTTTGCGAGCCATTTACGAAAGATCTCTGCAAGGGAAGGCAAAGGAGGGGATGGATGGGTTTCTGAAAGAAAATGAAAGATTGAAATATCCTGTTGTAATTTTTCTCTTCGTTCCATTCATGTTTTTTTTGGTCCTTTATTCTTTTTTCTATCTTACTTATACTTGCTTCGTTGTTTATGTTATGTCTTTTTGTTGGATTGGGTTTCACAGCCACAGAAGCGGAAGTCTATATGAAGAAGGAATCATCACACACGTTCATCATCATCATCATCATCATCATCACACAAAGCTGGTGTTTTGCTTTGCTTTGCTTTGCTCTGCGTTATGGAGGCCACCTTGCTTGGTACACACTCGCTGTCTGTCCCCGTTATGATGCTTTTTGACGATCTCGCCATGTTTTGTCTTGTCGTTGTCGTTGTGGTTTGTATTGCTATGGACTTGCTTATAGCGGTGGACGTATCTTCTCGAGTCTTTCCCATTTTCTCTCGCTTCGGGCCCACTCAGCTTTTTCTTATTGAAGGAGAAAGCGGAGGGTCACCTGGACCTATGTGGACAGTAGTGGTTGAGTTGGCTACGGTGTAAGCGTGGTCAGTGAAGAGTAAAGGTAGTTGTGCTCAGGTTGCTTACTTGGTATCTACCTAGGTCTGTAGTCTAGGGTGTGGGAAAAGATTAGAGTAGCAGAGCACATAGTGGGAAAACGGGTGATTAGAGGAGTTGCAATTGTAGTAGAATCTGTTGTAGCTGGGTGTAATAATGTGAGGGTATGGACTGCCTGCCCGACTGACGTACTAGCTGGGTGGGTATATCAGATCTCAACAGATCGGGAAGATGGGTCTGTAGTAGGTCGACAGAGGTCATGGAATAGTAACTGAAGAGAGAGTGTGTGTATGTAGGTAGGTATGAACCTTATCATGCACTGGCTTGAGACCGGCTAGTATAGACCTAAACCACTCAACAGAAGAATAACACGCTCGAAGTATACGAAATACGTGCACGCTTAACATCACCTCCATTCTAGACATGGGCATTACTGTAAAATGGACCTCGTGAAACTCAACGCGCGGCTCGGACGCAGTTAAACACTTGCGCGAGTTTATGTATGTATGTCGATCGCTTTAAATGTACGTCATCGGTACACTAGGCAGACAAATAACTTGAAATGTAATGACCGGACGGATACCGGTACGCCTTTGTCTTGATGTTTCCAACACACCCGCACACAAGTGCAATTGAGGATTGAGAATTGAAGATTGGAGAGCAGAAATCTATGCGTCGCTTATCTTGTTTTTTTACTTTCTTTTTTTTGTTGTATCTATCTCCCAAGTTCACAACTTCCTTCTACCATCTCTTCTTTTTTTTTTCTGTTCTTATCGTTTCCCCTCTGTCCCTCCTATCCTTTTTTCTTCTTTCCCTTCTGCCTGACTTGAAAGGCCCATTATCATTATCATTACCATTTCGTTACCGATTTTTTTTTTTTTTTTTTTTCCTTCTTAAATCTTCTGGTCAACGACGCTATTTCCCCCTCTATCTGTTAGGGAGAGTTCTAAGCAGTACCATACCTAACCAACCCTTGGTGAGATCCCCCCAAAGACTTGTAATTGTTTTTGGTACCTACCTCCTCTAGGTAGGTAGGAGGAGATCTCTCGGAAACGTTGTTGAAAGTCTCTTTCTTCTTCTTCTATTTCTATATCCCTCCCTTCCTTCGTCCTGCCAACTCTTAGCTTGCCTTAAAAGACACATGTTCAAGGATGACCAGCCCACTCCGGCTCACCACTAGGAGGCGTAGCCGGCTGGCCCAAGTTCATTCGGCACTGCTGCTTCCAATCTTGGGGAGTGAATTTGTCGACTATTGATTTGAAGGCGGACTGTTTTTGTTGTTTATGTCATGTTAGCATTTGTTTTGGTTTCCCGCTGTAACACAAATGGTGCAACCGCTTGGCAGGGGGAGGAATGCTGGAAATAAGGGGTCCAAATCATAAAGGGTCCAACCAAGTCCATGTTACACAAACAAACTCAAAAAGGGTTGGGGGAAATGCGGGAAAAGACTAAGGATAAACTGATGACTTACCAAAGTGCAAAATGATTCGTCCCCCTCCAAATGGTTCCCAGGCGTCTTGCACCCCGGAATCGTCACCGGCTCGTCGTTGTACCGCATGCGAACGTAGTAGCCGTCCAGCTTGGATTTTTCAGACGAGGTCAGGTACTCGGAGGATTTCCTGCCGATGCCCGACCCCGGAGGGTTCTTATTCCGACCAGCGCTGCCGGAGAACATGGACTCCCACCAGCCACGCTTGGCGGGGGGTGTTACTGCAGAAATTTGGTCTGCAGGAGAGCTAGTACTATCCGCCTTACGGAATAACTCGATAGCGATGTGGCTAGTAAACGGAGGCCAGCTGCTGCTGTCGTACGCGCCTAGGCTGGAGAGCATTCCCGCCAACGTGGTGTCGTGGCACCCCGACAGACCGAACTTGATGCCAGGGCCTGAGGGGTCCGAGGTGGCTGATTCGGTATTGACGGGATGTGAAGAATGTGTGTGCTCAGCGCGGCTGACCATGCGCTCAACGATGTCGCCCAACAACCCACCGATTCCCAACATGCGATACTCGCGCGACTCGTTGAAACCCGCGAACCACTCATCACTGGCAATTCTCTCCAAGAGCTTGCGGGCCTTATGGTCATAAAACCCCTCTGGAAGCCGGGTTTCCGGACCATGCGCCAGACTGGCGTTCACGGTGTCCATGATGCCCGACAGACGCGGCCTCGAGTCGACGGCAACGCGCGGGCTGTTAGCCGGCATCCACTTGCCGTAGACTTTGTTCAGGTACTCCATCTCGTCGGAGGTGTTCCACCTGTCTGCCGCGCGCTGGGCGAACGCCCGCGAGAGTGCCGCAAACCGGCGGCAGTTGCCGTCGTTGGGGTAGAGCGTCTCGTCTCCCGGGCCCCGGGTCAGCACGGTGGGTACGGGAAACTTGCCCGTCTCCGGATCGGCTTCGCGCGTGGAGGGCGGGTACAAGGCCTGGAAGGCCTGGTGCATGGACTCGAGCGCGCGGGGCACGTTAGTCGACCGCAGGTAGAAGTCGTCGGTGGAGCTGATGGTTTCGGGCAAAAAGCCAAGCCGGTCAACGTAGAGCTTGCGGAGGCGCATGCCGAGGCGCGAGGTGGACTGGCGGCCTAGGTCCGTCAGGGCGCCAAAGTCGCAAATATCGTCGATTTCGTGGCCGGGCCCCTTGGCTACCACGGGCTCATCCTTGTGGCCAAAGGTCTCGAGACGGCGCTTCCATTCGACCGTGTGGAAGGAGGGCTTTCCGGTTGTTGTTGGCATTGCCAGGTCCTTGGGTTTGTTCTCGCCGTTGTAGTCGAGCATTATCGACCTCAGCTGGCGGACGCTGGCGCAGTAGGGCCAGAAGGGCTTGAGACCGGCGTTCTGGAAGCGGGCGGTTACGGGGGTACGTTCGCCATGGCGCATGAGGATCTGGACCTGCTGGAGTTGGAGGCTGGGTGGGTAGAGCTTGTTGAGTTCATCGTCCGTGTAGGGAGGACGGGGAGTGAGAGAGGTCATGGTGAAAGTACCTAGGCTAGGAGGTCGTTCCAAGATATGGATTGTAGGTGTAGTAGAAGGAGGCCGAGACCGGGCATGAGAGGATGTTTATGGATGGAGGCCTAATAAGAGGTAACAAAGCCAAGGTAGGGAAGACGGGGGTGGATGGTTGTTCTTATAGGATTTAGAGTTACAGTCGATCCGAGTCACGACCCATCATGGTGAGTCGACAAGTTGATGTTGATAGGTGAATAGGTGGCTGGCTGGCCGAGTAGGTGAAGAGAACCAAGACCTGCGTCGTGGCGTGCGCCCACATTCAAACTGACGGGAACCTCGTTGGGGGTCTGCCTGTCTGTCCGCATCGAGTAATGAATTACACGGGACGAGAGAGGTAAACATTGCTAACTCGGCTGCTGGAAGACAGAGCCAATGACGTACCAACAGCAACTCGCAAGGCAAGGAGACCCCAACCTGAACAACGCGATTGTCCAGAGAAGGAACACGGGTATAACCCCAACCCTTTGAACTGGGATCTCGACGACGCCGTGGTGGGGGGTTCCGACTTTTGTGGGGATTCCTCCACATCGGCGAGGGGAAGGGTCCCGCATCAAGGTCCGCTTCCCCCAGAAATTCCACCGTCCGACCCCTCTCCTCCACTTACACTACTTCTTCATCTTTTGTCAACGACGTGTCCACTCCTTCACCAACCCAGGACATCATCAAGGTGCTCCCACTTCGTTGTTTGCGACAGACCATGAGGGACCTGGGCCACGTCTGTCTGAGATGTCGTGCTCAGCTCCTCGTCGCGACTCAAGCCGCCCGCCGTCCGGTAACTTCCCGCCAGCCACCATCGCAGTCGCCATCATGTCGGTCCACCTACAGCTACACCACTGCAGCCCCCAATAACGCCGCCCAAGCCCATCAAGAGGTCGGATCCCATGCGCAGTCACAGCAACAGAGGCAGACGGCGACGCAACATAGAAGGGATGGAGCATGGAAGGCACCTACTACCAAGAGCAGGTCCAACCGCAGCCATGCTTCTGCTCATCCGTCGGACAGCGACGGCGAGGGTTCTCAACTGGTAGCCATGTTCAACGACATAGTCCACGATGTGCCTCGGCCAAGCGACATCACCATTTCCGATATTGATCTGTTGGCCTTGGGGGGCCGCATGGACGCCAAGATCAAAGACAACAACTCGTCGTGCGCCGACGCTTTCAAGTTCTTCAAGAAAGAAATCTACCCCTTGATCAAGGCCATCTCGGCAATACCAACTCGCAAAATCCCGAAACCCGTCTTGCGCTCCATACACGACCTGCTGCTGCCTCGCATTTTGATCGAAAAGACGGGAAACGTCCACGCGCCCGAGCTCCCATTGACGGCCCATATCACCGAAATCATGCTCGAACTCGATGCCTTCGATCCTATATACTGGTCGCCTCTCATCATTGAGATGATCGAGTCGGTCTACCGCATCAACCCATCTCCTGATCGTTACACCAAAATCAACGAGTACGAAAGTGCAATGGCTCGCCGTGATCTCGTCCTCTTCGATCTGGCCGCAACGTGGAAACACTTTACCAAGCATCGGTTGCCTCGCACCATCGTAAAAGACCTCCGACCGGCGAGTGTGTCGAAAGCACATGTGAAAGGGCACACTAAAGAGAAATTCTCGGAAGGATTCAGGGGCCTCGAACGTGTAATGCACAACACGCTGGGCAGTCATGGAAGTAGCGAGAATGCGCTTCATATATCGACCTGGGCTGCTTTTGGCTCATATACTTTACTTACCGATCCCGTCAGGTGCTCACGTTTAGCTGCCAAAGAAGCAGGACCCTTTTTGGAGGTCATGGGCAAGATATTGGCCGTGGTTACGACACTAAAACCTACCGACTTTGATCCGGTTTTGAGACGATACCCCATGTTACACGCATACATCAAGACACAAACACACCTGGGTTCTTTTCTGACAAACACCCCAAACCGCTCTGCTCGGCAGGTACATCCGATACTTCAAATCAAGGGGACCGTTGAACAGGCTATACTCAAGAAAAACTTGGGACTGTTATATTCAGCTTGGCTTCAGCTTTGGGGTGAAGAAGAGGCACCAGATCCGTCCAAGCTGCCGTCCTATCGTGAAAACGCAAGGATATTTGATAAATTTATATATGGCTTCATGGCGTTGCGGCGGCCCCAAATGTCCATCGATGTCTGGAACAAAATGGAAAAGGCTGGCATAAGCCCTACTATTGAGACTTGGACCTCCATGCTTCAAGGTGCTGTCATGTCCCACAACGCTCGTGCTATCAAGACCATCTGGGACAGACTGATAGCCTCCGAAACACAGCTGGATTCGATCGTGTGGACGGCGAGGATAAGCGGGCTAATCAATAACGGAGCCGTTGCCGAGGGGCTTAAGGCGCTGGACGAGATGGCCGACAAGTGGAAAAACCAAGTCAAGTACCCCAAGCAAGCCGTCAAGCCAACCATCGAGCCCGTCAACGCCGCCGCCGTCGCCCTCATCCGACTTGAGCGGGACGACCTCGCCGCCGACGTGCTCCGCTGGGCGGCCAAACAGGGCATCCGCCCCAACATTTACACCTTCAACACACTCCTGCAACGTCTGGTGCGCACCAACAAGGTTGACGAGACCGTCGCCCTCCTTGAGAGCATGAAACAGGCCAAGATCGAGCCCGACGGCGCCACCTTCACCATCTTGCTTGAAAAGGCGCTCAAAAACCTGCACCGGCAGACGCCCGAGGAGATCACATCGACGGTCAGCGACGTGATGCGCATGATGGAAAGTTCCGGCGTCATGGAGAACATGATGGTCTACGCCAAGGCCATCTACCTCTTGCTCCAAGAAGGCGACCGGGCCACGACAGCCGTCAACGCCGTGCTCGCGCACATTTGGTCCCAAGGGCTCGAGCTCACGTCGCACATCTACACCATGCTCGCCGAGCACTATTTCGGGCGCGACCCGCCCGACACCAAGGCCGTGACGGCCCTGATCGACAACCGCCGCCTGCACCTGAACGAAAACATTGACCACATCTTTTGGGAGCGCGTCATCAAGGGCTATAGCCGGGCCAACGACGCCGTCAAGGCCGAGGAGATCTTTTGGAAGGTGTTCAATGCCGGCATGACCGAGCTAACCATGGACGCCATGTTTGAGTTGCTGGCGGCCATGATGCGCCACCAGGGCATGCTGGAGAGCGCGGCCAAGCTGGTGGCGGCGCTGAACCCCATCAAGGTCGCCGTCACGCCCGATCAGGTGCTGGCGAGCAGGGACGTGGAGGAGCCGGCGGAGCGGGAGGCGAGGCATGCGCGGATGAAGAATGAGCGGTTCTGGAAGCACCGGTTCTGGCATTTGGCGTACAAGGGCGGGTTGATGTCGGATGATTTGCTGGAAGCGTTTGAGAAGGCGCATGAGGATCCGAGGGAGTGGGGGGTGGAAGGAGATGAGTGAGTGAGTGGGCAGTGGTGTGTGGGGGTATGTGTGTATGTGTGTAATGTTTACTGTGTATGATGTGTGTGTGTATACATATTGTATAACAAACTGAAACTGCATATATCTTTGTTTTGGCTATGCATAATGATCGTTTCGGACAGACGGTTATTGCCTAGACTAGGTGTCGGCAGAGACTGGAACTGACATACATCATTGGCTCCGTCAGGAATTATCATTCATCGGCATCATCACATAATTCTTTTCTCCTATTATTGGGTAGATATATTCTCCCGTTTGACTCCAGTGCCCCTCCCTATATGGGAAGAAACATCCTAGAGTGAACGCCTACAGCCACAAAGAAACTTTGATCGACATTGCCAACTTCCTGGCCTCCGAGGAAATAATGGTACACACAGGAGGGCTGCAGGAACTCGAAACTCGAACTTGCATTTTCACACGAAGTGCTGAATGAACACTGGACAATCATGAGTTATTCAGATGTACTCATCGCGATTTGAAACATCATAGGTAACCAAGCAACGTCCCTCCTCCTACCCAAAGTCTTCGTTTCCGTATATGACGATATCATGCATATGCCCGAATTAACGGGAGTAAAAAACCTGAACCTTTGTGTCTATCATATCCTATCCTATCCGTATCGGCGCTATCATCTAAGTCTGCCTGCCCATCCCACCCTTGCCTTAATCAGACTCCCCGGCCTTCTAAAAGGTTCCGCGTAGTTATCTACGCACGCGCCCAGTCCACTCTATCCAACGAACTCAAATCTTATATACTACAGTCTGCCGACCTATAATCTGGATATCCCTTGTCGTCAATAACCCTCCTCCTCAAAAGGCAGGCCTCGTAGCAAGCGGCACGGGTGGTGGTGGCGGGGCATCCTGCTCCCCTTGTCCCGGCGGAGCAGATACAGACGGCGGCGCCGTCAAAGCAGGTTTCTTCTTGGGCGGCGGAGGCGGAGGTGGTTTCTTCTTGGCTGCTGCAGCCGTTGCCGCTGCCGCGGATGGACTTCCCGGCGTGGCAGATCCCACCGAGTCACTGTATCCATGCCCATGACCATATGAAACAGCACTCTCGGCTCTTGTTCTGGTCCCAACTGGCGGTGGTGGTGGCGGCGGCGGCTGTGATGTTCCGGCACTACCGCCATAACTACCTCCTGTTGAACCACCGCCACCACCACCACCACCAAATCGATCCCTTAAATTCCCCACTGCCCCCGCCGCCTTCCCCCCAAGGCTCTGGGCCGTCTTCATCCCCGCCGCTATCTGATCCCCGTGTCTCTGGCGAAAGTTATTTATCGTCCCACCGGCGGATTTGGCATCGGAATAGGAAACAGAGCGAGGATCCTTGTGGAAGGCTGAAGCGGTTTTGAGCGCGTGTTGCTTTTGCGCCCAGGTTGTTCCTCCTCCTTCAGGAGCAGTGGTGGTACCTTCTTGATGGCCTGTTGAGGCAGGGGATACGCGAGAGGCGGGTGGTGGAGGGGGGAGGATGGGCCGATTCGAAGGGGGTGTGGGGGTTGTGGAGGTTGAGGTTGGGGTGGAGGTGGTGGTGGTGGAAGAGCCGGGAGGGAGGGAGTGGTAGGGTTGGGAGTAGGGTTGGGAAGTTGCTCCTGGGGTGGTGGAGGAAGAGGCGCCCGTGGTAAGTTTGGAGAAGCGGTTTTGGAGATTGGAGAGTTGGGATTTGGCTTGGTCTGTGAAACTACCGCTGCCCGCGGTACCAGAGGTAGAGCCGGTGGTGGTTGATCGAGCGGGACGATTGATCGGGGTGTAAGAGGGTGGCGGCAGTAGAGGAGTTTGGTTCGAAGTAGTTGCTGCGGCACTCTTTTCGCTGCCGATGCCAAACCCGGGGACGTTGACGCCCGCTGCGCCGAGGCGGTTTACGGCGCCTTGGTTTAGGTAACCATCACCTGCCTGTGGTGAGGCCGGAGAAGCTGTGGATGAGCGAGGAGGTAGTCTGGGTGGCAGGCTCGGTGGTCCTCCGGTAGAAGGTAGGCCACCTGCGCTAATGGTTGAAGGGCGAGGTGGTGGTGGAGGTCGGCCATCGGCTCCGTCTCTGCGGACCGGAGGGGGCGGTAAGTGTGCTGTCGATAGACCGGTGGTGTCTACTCGGTATGTTCTCGGGGGTGGCGGCGGCCCATCTTCCTCAACTCCTTCATGTTGTTGTTGGTGGTGTCCATATTGCTGTTGCTGTCCGTATTGTTGTGACTCGGCCGGATTCGTGGAGGTAGGCCGGGAGGGCGGGGGCGGCGGTGTGAGGTCGCCGATCCTGCGCTTGGGCGGAGGAGGGAAAGAGGCTGGGTCGCGTAGAGAGGAAATTGGTGTTGACTGATGGTCCGCATAACGTTCTCTCTGGATGGGCATGTGTTAGTATTTTCATGTCGGGGAGACAGATGCGACTGGGGGAAGTGATGTAGCCTACAGGATCCTCTCCGCGTCCAAGCAAGCCTTTCTGCATCCGAAACGTGCGTCAGTATCATGTCAGTGGTATTTGGACTCCATTGGGCTTCATACGCACCACTTGGCCTTTTAAAGTCGTTCCCTCTTTCTCCGGATGCCATCCTTTCTTGAAGATTTCCTTGCCCTTGTCTTTGTAGCCCGCTAGTTCCGGCATGTCGGGCAGTGTGATGGATGGGCTGTGTAGATATGGTCGATAACGAAGTTAAAATATTTAGGATCGTAAGAGAAGGAAAAAAGAAGTGGAAGCCTTCTAGAAAAGGATTCGGCAATCAAGTAGCGTGATGATCACCCGGCGGATGGATGCTTCGATAGGGGGACTTCGGCGCTTCAGTTGTTATCGCAAGGGAAGCAGGAACGGAGTCGGTGTTCTCGTCCTTATCTTCCAGCGGACACTTGCACAAGGGATGTGACGTAGATCCCGGGGATCGTCAGCGGCTGACAGGGTCCCCACATCAGCTGTGCCGCCTTGCTCTTCAGGCACCCGACTGCCGAACGTTCGCGCTGCTACCTACTGTGTCAATCGTTCAATTCCACTTTCGCAATCGCCATTGCAACCAGGGCATCGCGTCTTTGAGTCGCGCCGAGGGACAACCTCAACGTCCAAGTAAACAAAACGAGACACAAATGGCCACAACAACAGATACCGAGCTCCTAACAGAGCACTTTGGCTATCCCCCAGTCGTACGTCCCGATCCAATTCTCTCTCACTCAACCCCAAAACCTTTGCCCAACTAACCCCGCGGCGCATCGCGCATCAACAGAGCTTACTCGACGACATAATCAACAGCATCAACATCCTCGCCGAGCGCGCCCTCAACAGCGTCGAACAAGGCCTCCTCAATGCGCCCCCCGCCTCTCTCGGTTTCCGCCCACCTACCCATGCTTCTACCACCAAACCGGGCAAGAAGCCCAAAAAGGGCGAAGAGGGTCTTCCCAACGCCGAGGAAGCCCATCGACACGAGATCGAAAACGGCACGCACCAGCTCGAGACCTTACTCTGCGCCAGCATCGACCGTAACTTTGACAAGTTCGAAATCTACGTTATGCGCAATATCTTGTGCGTGAGGCCGGAAGACCGCGATTGGATACGGTTGGGGCATTACGAGGGGTTGGATTTCTCCTCCCCCCAAAAGGAAGGACAAAAGGAAGGAGGAGACGAAAGACCAACACTCGAAACCGTCACCCGCCTGCGTAGACGCTTGCAAGCATCGCAGAAGCTCAACGTCATGCTCCACGCCGAAAAGGCTCGCAATGCCGCATTGCTATCTGAAGTCCGTCGTCTCATCGGCTCTCCCAAACAAGTCAAATCCGAGCGTTCCCAACCACCATTAGCACAAACTCAAAACGGCAACGACAACAACAACACCGATACAGAAATGACCGACGCCCCTCCTCCTCCTTCTTCCTCTACCTCTACCACAATCCCAACAGACAGCACAAGCCCAAGCAAACCCCCCTTTGGCTTCCTAACCCAAACCTCCCTCCTCTCCACCTCGGACGCCTCCACCCCTCTCACCACCACCACGGCATTCACTCTCTCCCAACTCGACGCTCTCCGCTCGCTCTCTACTTCTCTCCGCTCGCTCCTCCCTGCTCTTTCTCAACCAGTGGCAGCAGCACCAGAACCAGAACCAGCATCAACAGAATCTTCCGAACCTGACGACGACAAGAAAAAGAAACCCTGGCGTCTGCAGAGACTAGAATACATCGAAACTGCCACGCGGAAACATCTGGAGCAGGTTCGGGGTCTGGAGCTGGGAGTCAACGGGGAGCTAAGGGATGGAGGGCTCGGGGGGGAGGAACAGTCGACTACAGGGGATTTGATGGTGGTGGTGGAGAATGGTGGAGATGGTGATGGTGAAGGGGCGAGGAGGACAACAAAGAGGAGGAGGGTGGAGAGGGAGGAGGTGGAAGCGTTGGAGGGGGTTTTGGGGAGTTTGGGAGGAGGGGGCCATGATGGTAGTAGTAATGAGGCGGGCGGGGAGGGAGGAGAAGGGGGACAGGGACAGGAGCAGGAGCAGGAGCAGGGACAGGGACAGGAGCAGGAGCAGAAGGAGCAGAGGCAAGAAGAGGGACAAACACAAGCACAGTCAGAGGGGAGTCAGAGAGAGGGAGGAGAAGGGGAAACGGAAACAAAAACACCGAGGCAAAGAGGGCGGAGCGCAGAGAGAGCAAAAGATCAGGGGAATGGTGAGGAGGGGCAGATGGATGAGTCTTAGGCACATTGCATACCAATCTGTGGTTTTTCATTAATATTGTAGAAGCAGGCGTTTTTGGGGTTTACGTCTTTTCAAATGGGGGGCTTTGGCTTCAGAAGGATATATCATGGTCGTGGTCTATGGAAAGCTATGTGATGATGGAATGAAATGTTTGTACTACCACTGTTTCTTACTCGATACGGTTTCATTTAACCCAATCCTGTTACTGGATTGTTCCTGAGAAAGCCTGCGACCAGCATCAACTCTCCAGTATATTGATCTAAGCCAGATATTCCCGGGGTTATACCTAGTTAAGTGACATGCATTGAGTGAGAAAAAGCGGTAATGATATCTGTTTTCAGTCTCCGTCTCTCTCAGATATGATAGGTACCGGCAGGCAGACATGAATACCTTAATACTGTACCACCGATGCGGATAGGATAGGATAGGATAGGAAAGAATGGACACCAAGGTTCTCAGTCACATGCATAATAGCGTCATATAGGGACAAGGAAACTGGCTGAGGACGGGCGTCCTATCATGTTGTATCATCTCAATGGCACGTCCATTTACCAACGTAGGCCGAGTTCGAGAATCATAAGGAGCGTAATTGTCTTGTGAGAGCTGACCGGTTTTGCCAACAGGCCGATAGCGCATTCATCCATCAGGGCTAGGAAGCTATCACAGTGGTACGGAAAGCGCGTTTATTGAATACTTTCGGAAGTCGTCAATTCATTTTTGGGTCTTATCGCTCCATATCATCATCGTAACTCAAGTAGAAGAAAAAAATTGGGGGATATCGTTTCAGAAATTTGTTGTATTTTGTTTCCCGAAAACCACAGGCCCGATCCAAATTGCGCCGCTAAGACAAAAACGCGTAATTTAGACCTTGGTCTCCTTGAGGCCGTGCTTCCAGACAACGACGTAAGGGGTGGTGCCGTCCTCGCGGTAGTTGAGGAGGACAACCATGCCGTCGGGGTTCATGGACTCGCCGGTGTAGAACTCCCAGTCCTTGAACTTGGCGAGGATGACGTTCTTGGCGAAGGCACTGGCCTTGGTCTCGAAGTCCTTGATCTCCTCGTCAGACTTGCCCTGCTCCTTGAGGGCGTTCTTGACGGACTTCATGTAGCCTGTTGGTCATGTGTGTTAGTATATATATGCCATGTATGGACATGACAAACGAGGATAACGTACCCTTGAGGTAGACGAGGTAGCCCTTCTTGTCGAACTGGGTGCTCTGGAGACGGAAGGAGTGGACAACGTTGTTGACCTTGACGGAAGTGTCCTCAAGGGCATCGTCGGCCTCCTCGGCGGAGGCGTTGGCACCAATGTCAACCTGGACGGCGCCCTCCTCAATCATGGCGCAGTCGACCTCATAGGCGATGCCATCGACCTCCTTGAGGTCGTAGGAGTCCGAGATGATCTCGTCGCCGGTGATGATATCCTGTATGGTGCAAAAGAAGAAGCGGGGTTAGCAGCTGATGCTGAGGCGGATGCGGATGCGGATGCGTTGTCGTCGTCGCTTTGAATGCGACATTGGATGCGACGGCATTGGGGCTTCAATTGTCATTGTCTCCGTGTATGTAGAGATCGCACTCACAGAGTAAATAAGCATTTTGACTGATTTGTGGACTGCGTTGCAGAAAGAGGATGAGGGTATCGAGGTTGGTGGTTGATGGACTTGGGGAAAACAAGGGCACGAAGACGAAATCGAAAGGAAGAGACCTTCAGACGTTGGGACGCGGGTGGGTTAAATCCTGGGCGGGTGAAAAAAATGGAGGATGGGAAGGGTGGGAGGGGCGCGGAGGGGCAAGTTCTGCTCGCGCTAAACCCAAGCGGGAATGGAACCTCCAGCCCAATGCTCGAGACCTTCACCACATGCGGGCGGGGCGTACGCTGTTGGCTACAATTTATTCGCGACGCCCGCACCTCATTGGGTACTTATGAAGCCAACGGGATGTGCGAACTGCGAAGATCAAAAAGTCCAGAACTTGAAACCGTCTTGAGCCTCGACCGCAATGCGAGTCCTAACCGTTCGTCTTGATTGCAATTCTCGACAAACCGACTTTGCCGAATCATTCCCTGTCCCAAGTTGGAGTTGAAAAGAGCAAACACAATCTTCATGGGGAATGCACCTGTCGGCTACAGTATTCTCACCACTTCCTTTTTCGTACAGCCTGGAGCAATCGTGATCTCGTCGCAGTACTGCAATTCCAAAGCGCAGACACTTTGCACTTGCTAAATGTGCCTTCACCCATCCCAAGTCTATCCACTCTTCACGCCCCGGGCCTTACGAATTGATATCTCTTCGTTGTACTTTATACTCGAGTATCGGTTTGCATGATTCCATCACATAGTTGGAGTCGGGGAGTTGGGCACCCTTTGAACTGGCGTTCGTTGATTGTCCCTACATAGTAAAACTCGATATGTTGCAACTCAATACCCATGCTCTCATACACTGGCTCTTCCAATGCCCGGTTGTTAGTATGAGATCTTAGTTCTACAAGTTCGATGCTCGATAGCGCTGTGTCAAAGTCTGCCGGCGTAAATCGTAAATGCCATTACATACCTAGGTTGAGCCGAGACCATCAAGGTTCTTCTGAACCACGGCTGGCAACTGCCCGAGTACAGTACCTTACCCACGTGGATGATTGGTCAGAGGTCAGGATGAAATCATAACCTTGGCGTTGTTATGGTAAACTCCTCAGCCAAAATTTGTTACGCAATTTGACACCTTGCGCGAGATAAACGGCCTATGTACTTCACCATCATTTCACTCTGGATGAATCATCACGTGTCATCAAGCTGACGCTGACGGCCACGACCGGCCTCGCCGAAGAGGTTGGAGACCCGCGGATGCCGAAGTGGAGACCAAGTCCAGCTGACTGCCGGTCATGAACACGGCTCGGGAACGGCGTTGAGACCGTATGGCGCGGCGGTATGTGGCCGTTGTGTGACTGCAGATCCCGGGACATTGACCGGAACCCGGAAGGAACGTCAAAAATCGAACAACAGGCGAAACCCCGGTGGACTCACGCGTTGGTGGAGTGGTTGTCGAAATTTGAAAGCTGGAAAAACCTCGGATCCTTGCCAAGTACCGATGCCGATTGTCCAATCACACAGCTTGGAGCCTACTGTATCAGACGGTGGTGGATCACACTCCGACGAGGTGTGTGATACGGGGTCTAGGGACCTTTACCGGGAAGCGATGCTTTTGAGATTTTGGCATTCGAGGGATTTGCCTGAGGTGGCGGCCCAGAAATCGGTTCTCTTCAACGAGGCCCAGATAAAGGGTAAGGCGAGGCTCTAGTGCAAGTCGGGACGGAGGCAGTGTCGCGTGTCGAAACCTCTACGTATTGACAGGTTTGTCCAGCCTTATCACCGTACCCAACTGGACGTGAGGGTGCATAAACTGGATGCGATACCCCTGCCAAGACTTTACATAAGCTGTCACATTCATCACATCCAAGGTGGGCAGATATCCGGGGAAAAGAAGAGACCGCAGAGTAATACACTAGGCAACAAGGCAACCCAGGCTCATGGGTCGACGAGACCTTATACAGGTGACTGGTATGTAGAGGTACTGTAGAGAGCATGGCAGAGTGTCGGTGGTGGCATGACAAAACAGCAGACGCGGAAGAGCGGACCAAAGCGAAATTGATGGGCAAGAATATTGCAGCTCTTTCCATTTGGAGCATGATGGGCTGTCCGGCATCCGGCATCCTCCAACGGCTTTTTGATCTTTTGCAGCACAAAAATATGCCAGGGCAAGCAGGGGGAATTCGCTGTTTTCCTCCGGATCGGGGGCGGCAAACCGAGCGAAACGGCGAACGCCACTCGATAGGCGTACGTACAGGGCATGGGACCGCGACTGTACAAGAACCACTAAAACCCGCCAATTCTCCACTGAGCTCAATTCTTACTAGTAGTCCGATCTCAGCGCTCACTCAGCCCACTGTGCAGTATCAGTCAGCGGCTTCACTTTACTTATACTACAATTGCAATCTTCATCCCATCCTCCGTCCCGTCTTTCCCAGAAAAAAAACACACACACAACGTCCAGACACTCCTTCATTGCCCATCTGTATCAGTTCGTCCTTTGTGTCTTTTCTGGAATTTGTCTATACTATAATCGCCTTTCCACCATCATCCCCACTTAGAACCTGGGCGTCCAGTGATCGCTGCCCACACCTTATCGCCAACTCAATACGATAATTCCTCAGCCCGTCCATGGTCTTCACCGACACAGCGACCGGTCCAACCATGGCCATGATGGCTAACACAACAATCGCCGCGGCCCTACCGCCCTTGCCTGCCTACGAAACCCGGCCGCTTCCAGACCTGTTGCCATGGATTTCCGACTTTTGGCTGTCGCTTATTCTGCCGCACATCGCCTACTGGGTCGTATCCATGTTCTTCCACATTATCGATGTCTATGACCTCTTCCCTCAGTATCGCCTACACACCCCCGAAGAAATCAGCCAACGTAATCTTGCGTCCCGCTACGAGGTTGCCCGCGATGTCCTCCTCGAACAAGCGATTCAGATTGGCACCTCGGCTGTACTGAATCTCCTCGACGACCAGCAACTCACCGGACATGAGAACTACGAAGTTGCCGTCTGGGCGACGCGCATCCGCCTGGCCCAGCGTGGCCTCCCCACCATTCTCGGCCTCGTTGGACTGAATGCCGGCGCCCTTTCCAAGAACATTGCTGGCTCATACCCGCTGCTTGCTGGCGCGCTCGCTGGCGGTTTCTACCCATCCCTCTTCGAGCTCGATGACATGGCCGGCACGGCCGTTCCCGCGTTCGCGTCCTGGGAGATTCTCTTGGCCAAGGCCATCTACTGGATCATCATTCCCTGCATCAAGTTCTGGTTTGCCGCTTTTGTCCTCGATAGCTGGCAATACCTTTGGCACCGCGCCATGCACATGAACAAGTGGATGTACAGTAAGTCTTCCAAAACACACCACCTCAATTTCCACGCAGCTGGACCACCCCCACTAACACCTGCTTTCCCTCCAACAGCCAAGTGGCATGCTCGTCACCACCGTCTCTACGTTCCCTATGCCTACGGCGCCCTCTACAACCACCCCGTCGAGGGTTTCGTGCTCGACACTCTCGGTGCCGCCATCGCCTACAAGTGCTCCTTCATGACCTCTCGCGAGGGCATGTTCTTCTTTGTCGGCAGCATGATGAAGACGGTCGACGACCACTGCGGATACGCGCTGCCCTGGGACCCCCTGCAGAACATCACCAGCAACAACGCCGCTTACCACGACATCCACCACCAGAGCTGGGGCATCAAGACCAACTTCTCCCAGCCCTTCTTCACCACCTGGGATAGAATCCTCGGTACTATGTGGAAGGGTGACACGTCGATCAAGTACGAGCGCACGAGGGCCGCGGCGGCCAACAAGAAGAAGGGCGCCAAGGGTGAAGAGACCAAGGCCGAGTAAAATAATTGGATACAACCCAGAGTGGGGCGGGGCCCCGCTACTGAGGATTGTGGTGAGGAGTTGTGTGATATTTTATACAAACTATTTTGTCGACGGTGGTAATTTTTATTTCTGTGGAAAGATTTATTACTCTTTTCGCGAAACGTGGTTTGGGGGAACATCATCTATACTGATGTAAACCTCCCCTCGACGTCTTCCATCAGAGAAGGGGGACGACACCATGATGGTTTTGGATGATGGGAAGCAGATGAAGAAGAAGAAGAAGAACGAAGCCAACAAAAGAAAAAAAAGCAACATACCTGACTATCTAGGGCATTGGGAAAGGCGTTATACCACACATACTTTCTTTTTATAGTCATCTATTTTTCCTCTTCTTCGTTTAACGCCCGACTTATGGCTTCAGGATTATATGCAACCGTTGATGATGAGGGAGAAGGGCAAAGGGCAAAAAGGGAAGGGAAGGAAGGGGACAGGATGAACTTGGATTGACTGTTCATAATGAAGGGAATGGAGGCTTGTTGCAAATGATGTATGGGTTCCATATCACAGTTTTGAGGAGGTTGTTTGTCGATTGTACAAAGTGTTGGAAGAAGACAGACAGGGAGGGAAAAGGATGGGACGGAAGAAGAGAAGGAGTGTTGTTCACTTCACTCACTCGCTCTTGGATGAGAAAAGCTTGGGGGATGGCACTCAACTTGTTCAGATTACGCCAATTATCTGAGTTATTTGGGGAGGACCGCTACTTACCTAGCCGACTCATGTAATGATAATATGAAATCAAAGCCTTGATCACACAATTTTACTGCTTTTTACTTGCCCAGTACCGTGACGAGTATCACTCACAACGTACCTAATCAATAACTTTTACTATCGTGCTACCTCAAAGAAACCCAACCTAGCAAGGTACCGCCTGCCTCCTCGTTACCCGCCCGGCTTGTGGCTGTCTGTCTGTCTGGCTTGACTACATAGTATCCAATCTCCCACCTTCATACCACCCGCCCCCAAACGCCATAGCGCCGTGAAGTGAAACCCGTCGTGTGTGGCTTACCTCCACCAGGCTGAACACGTCCGAACCCAAAACCGCCGGTCCATCCTCAACAAACACAAGTACATACATACATGGAGTGCCACTCCATCAGTACAGTGTCCTCCCACTTTCCGTCCGTCCATTCGTCCGTTACCCGGTTCGGGCGTAATGGTGGACGGAGCC